GTGATCGATACATGTGGATGATCTTGTTCCTGTAGTGTTTGTAAACACCCTGGTAGGTTGGTTAATAACATAGTTTCGCTTATAGGTTGTGTCTACAATTAGATGTGTCATTTCTTGAATGCTAATTGTTTGTGTTTGTGTATGCTCTCCTTTGTCCCTTATAGTATTTGAATCGAGGATGCACCAGATACTTTGCCAGCAAGGACACAGACAAACAGATCATGCAGAATCGCAAGAGTCCTGAGGTACGGTACCTTTAAACTTATTGTCTTTTACCTCTCTGATCACATAGGGCCTTCACAACTGGTAGTCTTTTATTTATTCCACATCCTCCTGGACATAAGTGGCTTTGAATTTAATGTGAATATGAACTTTAAGCAATTACTAGTAACTTGTTTAGTCATATAAATTATTAACTTATTGGTTTCCTTGCCTTGTAAGCAGTCTATGGATAAGGTATGACCGCAGTCCATGCATTGGTTTTATTTCCCTGGCACCGATTCCAAGTCTAACATTTTAGCGTTTGTGGCACAAATCCCATTCAAGTCATGGTTAGACCCTGACCGATTTGGGATTTTGGGATCTGATTCCAATTTTAGAGTGGAAATATTCACAGATTTTACCTGCCAATATTTTTATTAGTTGAGCTGGAATTAAAAAAATACTTTTTCTGTATGGATTGTGCTTAAAACAGCCCTACAAAGATACTCAGAAAGCTGATTTCTTAAATTTGAGGAAACAACCTTTAATGTAAGCACCACATAAAATGTAGGACCACCAGAAAGACAAGATGTTGTAATGGAAAAACTGTGTTACTCTAGTGAAAGGAGGATAAACTGCACTGATTCCAGCAATAAAAAAAAAAAAATGTATTGGTATTTAGCTATGTTTTCATCGATTGTAGGGCTGTATCCACTGAATTCTGGTAGTTGTCACTTGAAAGGAAAAACATAAATCACAAAATTTGCCGCTGGCACAAGCGCTGCCTCTCGCCCCAAGCGTTGCCTCAGTGAATGGTCCTACCCCATTGATGTTGAAATTAAAAATGGTAAGGGTTAAGGTTCGGGTCAGGTAAAGGTTATGGGTTAGGGTTAGCGTTGGGGTGTCCCAAGGATCCCGGATAGCACTAACCCTCAGTGAACGGTGTCAAGTACTCTCACACAGCTAGTTAGCTGGCTAGATGGGGGTGGCGATACGTGAATTTGGACCAGTCCCTGACAAGTGACAACCCATACATCAAAACTAAGCTACGAAGGGCTACTTTATAACCTGCTATGTTTTTTTTTGTGTCTCTGAAAACATTTTAATGTCCGAGCTTAAGGAATACTCTTTGCAAAAAGCAAATATAACACACCAGTTTTTGCGGGCTTCACGTGAAGGGCTGTAACGTTACCACAGAGTTCAACGTTCTTAGCACGTTGCTTTATATTTGGGCATAGCATCCATTGTTTGTCACGACACCCAACACCCTACCGTGATACTTCACATGACAGTATATGGCCAGTGCGCATTTATTGCACTTTATTGAGCTTGACTGGTGTAGTTGCGTTGGGTTACAGTGTCCAATCTTGCTGTAGTGTGCCAAGGCAAGATAGGCTTATAGCCATGTAAAAAGTTTTTTTTTTTTAGCGTTTTCTCCGTATTTTAGATCGGTCCTTTTCGGTGATTTAAATGCGAATACATCTGTAAAAGGCTAATATCGGCCGATAACATGTCAGCCGATAACATGGTCCTTTAAAACCTACTTTTGTAAAATATTGTGTGCTATAGCTTGCAAAATAAACAAATGTGTGTTGTTTTTCCAACATTTAGGACTGTTTTCTTCAAGAAATATATCTGCTTCATGTTTTTGGTTTCTTTTGCTTCCTTCCGAAAGTATCTATAATGTTTTGTGAAGCTCAACAGTCACTTATAGATGATTAGACTAATAATGACAGAGAATAAACAATATCAATAGCTTATAGAAAAATCTAATGACAAGTTTAATCCAGTTTAAGTTTATAAAGAAATAAATGATCGAAGCGGGGCAGGAAAAATCCCTCCATGCGAGGTTGAAAACCAATTGGCCAATCCTCCTACTAGACCTATCATAAAAGCTTTAAAGGGAAATTCCGCCACTTCTCAACCTCATTCATTATCTCCAGCACCATACCAGTGTCTACATATATGAAAACGGCGCGTTTCTATGATCGGTGGTTAAAAAGATAAGACGAAAGGTCCTAAAAAATACTTCTCTGTGATATCACAGGGTAAGATTAAAAGTAAGAAAAACTGTGATTTTCAAAACTTGCAACGAGTTTCTAGCCAGAGGGAGGTTATTTTCTTGCTTCCTACACCACCGCTAATCACTGTTTTTAAAATGTTTGAACTTTTGATGATGTCATCAGGTAGAACTTTCTTATGTTTTTCTACAAAACGTAGAAATGTGCCGTTTTCACATATGTAGACACTGGTATTGTGCTGGATATGATGAAAATAAGGTTAAAAAGTGGTGGAATTGCCCTTAAGACAAGTTAAAATTATGAACAGTAGCCTATTTTCCAAATATTTGAGTAGGCTTAGAAGTTGTTGCTGCTTTCAAAGAGAACAAGAATGAAAGTCTGAGTCTATAGGCCTAGACAATCACAGCTTTATGACAGATTGAACAAGCCCGTTCATCATCAGTTGACTGTCACTTTGCTCTGTCATGTGTGTTTGACACAGACAGACACACACAAACCTATTCCATGCTGAATCTCCATCAGAAAGGAATATTAGAAAAGATTTGCCTGCACTTAGCCTCTGCCCAGGCTTTCAACATTATATTTCGTCATGATTCGTCCAGTTGTAGCATTTTGGGCAGAGTTTAAAAACCCTCACATTATTATAATTTGTTGGTTGGCAAATAGGGAGCGATACCATCGCCCAACCCTAGATATAGGGTATAGGAAGTATTCATGCCAAACTGTATCAAGGATTGTCTTTAGAAATAAATAACTTCTGGTCCTTTGGCTTAGGTGAAAGTCTGGCAAATCTGTTGTAGGCTATGTGTGAATTGTTGCAATCAGACAAATTTGTTATTACCATTTTAACAATTAACCAAATGTTCCCTTTTTACAGCTTCTATTCAGTGTGTTGAGAGAGCAATGATCTCATGACAGTTGCGGTGTAACTAATTAAGCTTGTACGTCTCTTTGCCCTGCCTCGGGTCTATGTAATGCAGGATGATGAGGTGATGATGCTTTCCTTAGGAGACCCTCTTTGTTTTACTCACTATGTAAACCCTGAGAAGTGCAAGGCTCAGATTTTACATGCTTGAGGTTGTACTGCAAACAGGAGCTATGCAGAGCATGCTTCTTTATCAATGTGCATGGGGTTATGCCATTTTTCTTTATCCAGCTTCCGTCAGGCTCAGAATGTCACAGCGTGGTGAATTGTCAGTCTAAGGAGATACTGTTACAGACACACACTTATGACTGGTCAGGTGAAAATCAACAACCAAAATCTCACAGAAGTGAAGTAATTGGAACAACATCACACTGTGACATTTGCTTTAGTGTGCCTCTGCTTTGAAGTCTGCCAACCTTCCTTCAAACCAGAAACCACAAATCCACTGTACTTTTCTATGCCTCTGCTTCTATCTGTCAGTGGTGGATTTCAAATTTCTGATATTAGGGGTGAGACGTAGCATTTGACGCTAGGTTAGTCAAGGCTACTGTAGCACGGCTGTCTTGTTCATACTGCAGGAAGGTGTGATGTTTGTGTGATGACTCTCACATGAAAAAAGAGAGCCTACAAGGGAGGCCAGGAGTTTTCCCTAGTCGGATCACATGATGGCACTGGAAAGACTCTTGACTTTATCTAGCACAGGGAATGTATTCACAAAAGGTGCTGATCTAGGGTCAGGTTCCCCTGTCCATAATCATATTCAGTATAATCTAAAAGGCGAAACTGATCCTATATCAGCACTCCTACTCTGAGACTCTGTGAATACGGGCCCGGGTATAGTATCCTGACGGTCCTGTCTCTCCTTCCTTCAGCATGTGAAACTGGGCGCCCTGAAGGACCCTCTGTTGGACGACCAGGGAGACTTCAACAGGATGTGCGGGGCCATGAAGAAGATTGGCCTGGATGACACGGAGAAGCTGGACCTGTTCAGGGTGGTGGCCGGGGTGCTGCACCTGGGCAACATTGACTTTGAGGAGACCGGGAGCACATCGGGTAAATCAAGTTACATACCTAATGTCTCTCTCTTAGTGTAGCTCTCTGGAGTATTAGAATGTACACACACTTACGCACATACACACAGGCACTTTCATGCGTACACACACAAGCAGTCACATGAGCATACAGACGTGTGGGTGTGTACACAAGCACTCATCTGCATACGCTCAATGGGGCTTATTGGTCCTTTTATTGTTCTGCCAGCACTGAATCCCTCGTTTAGTTTCTCTAATGTGGCAGGAGGTCTACTCCCCACCCCTGGCTGACACATTCTCCTCTGTAGGGTCTCACTGTCCCACTTTTTGAAGTGCACCCATTGAAAAGGACACGCTCATCTGAATCCACTCTCCTGCCAGCTGCACAAGAGTGATGCAATGCATCTGACATATAAGAAAAGTGACGATTTCAAGCTTATCTTGAGATGGATGACGTAATAGATTACTGCCTCTAGAGCAGATATTAGCTGGACCATCGCACGGTGCTCACTCTCCTCTGAAATGGTTACATGTTGACAGCTCATTTCCCTGTCTCAGACCATCTGTCTGTCTCTGCCCTTCAGAAGGACATTACTACTTCACTGCCTGCAACAAAGACAGTACTGATTCTGCAGAATGTGCGGCGTGTATTCACAGTGTGACTGTATTCAAGCATTAGGCAGGAGAAAGAAAGTAGTAAAATCCAATTGATGCGGCATAATGGACGTTGCTCCATTTTCTTTTTGTGCGCACCAATGGTGTGTGTGTGTGTGTGTGTGTGTGTGTGTGTGTGTGTGTGTATTTCCAGGCGGCTGCATCCTGATGAACCAGTCGAGTCAGACACTGGCCTACTGTGCTGACCTGCTGGGCCTGGACCAGGAGGACCTGAGAGTCAGCCTCACCACCAGGGTCATGCTCACCACAGCAGGGGGCGCCAAAGGAACAGTTATCAAGTAGGACTACCTCTAATGCTGCATTTAGATGGTAGGACGTAGACAGTAAACGGCAAACCGGATGTAATTGTTTTCAATGAGAGCATGACGGTAAATGCCGTTGAAGCTGGTGGTGAATGCCATCAGCCGCCACAATAAATGGGACTTGCCACCAGAGTTTAAATATTTTAACTTTTGCCGTCTGCCGTGGCGTTGTTTTCTACAGGATGTTGATTTGCACTGTTTGTTTTCTGAAATCACCATAGCAATGCATACCGTCGTGCTGGCTTGCTTTTGCCATCACCGTCTTTCTTGCTTTCTTGTCCCGCTATGCCAACTGGTTTGACGTTTTTTTGCCACTAAAAGTCTGTTTACATCGTGACTTATTTAGTAACGCCGTACGTCATCTTCACCGAGTCTTGCCCCGCTACTGAACAATCAAGTGTAGTGTTTGTAACGCAAGATGGAGGATAGCCTGTCTCTCGTCAGAGATCGCATAAATACATTGTTTCAGGTGATAATACAACATAAGACTGAACATGAATAGACTATAGATGGGAATATGGGGTGGGGAAAGTGAGCAGTAATGGTAGGTACCTAACTTCAAAAGGTAAAAGGTTTGCTCTGAACCTGCTGCTTCAGCTCGATGCCTGTACAGAAGAGAACGGAGAGCAGAATAATTTTGGAGTGTTTGAATTTTAACAAGTATTCCAGTCCACAGTGTAGCTACCAGCCATGAGACTGAGACTGAGTGCAGGACAGAGTGCTACACCATAGCTGAACTTGCTCAGTTCAGAGGAACTCCAATTTGTTCATAGTCATCAACCCCTTTGAATAATTGAAGCCAAATGGTGTTGGAGAGTGCTACGAGAATTAGTCAGCCAGGGTTCAGGGAGTACAGTCACTTCTAATGGCTTGTATTTTGTCCTCCTTACCTACTTGTTTTAGCAAAAATTCCTCTTTGCTAATACTATCCTGTAAAAACGTACTCTTTAAGAATCATCTCAAACTTTGTTTGCACCTAAACCTGAAATGAAAAATGCCTGTATTGATTAAAAATGTTTTTATTTATTTATTAAGGAGTAGCCCAGTGTCCTGGTTTCAGCCCCTCACTGCTCCACTTTGTGTTTTCCCCCCAGGGTGCCTCTGAAGGTGGAACAGGCTAACAACGCCCGGGACGCCCTGGCCAAGGCCGTGTACAGCTGCCTCTTCGATCACGTGGTCAGGAGGGTCAACCAGTGCTTCCCCTTCGAAACCTCCTCCAACTTCATCGGGGTGCTGGATATCGCCGGCTTCGGTAAGTCAGCCTAGAGCAGTGAGTTTGTCTGACAGTTTGTCTGTTTCTCTGTATGTTTGTTTCTCTGTCTGCCTGTGAGTCTGTCTATCTAGCCATATAGCCATTATTTTATCTTGTAGGTGTTCGTTTCCTGCACGTCCTAACATAAACTATTTTCTCTTCTCTTTCTAAAAACGTTACTGACTAAATGTAATATATTCAGTACCAGTAACTGCCTGAAGATAAGCATTCTTCATTCCCACTTCAGGCGTGGCAGATCATTTACACTTTCATATTTCTTCTCACCCCCCTCAGAGTATTTTGAGCACAACAGCTTTGAGCAGTTCTGCATCAACTACTGCAACGAGAAGCTGCAGCAGTTCTTCAACGAGCGCATCCTGAAAGAGGTGAGTGAGAGTGTCGTCTGGGGGCGTGGAGGTGGCTCGCTAGTGTTCTTTAAGCTTTGGACTCCCACTGAGGACTAGTGTTGTAACCATACCAGAATTTTGACTTCGATACCGATACTAGGTTTAGTATCACAATACACGATACCATCACGATACTCGATACCGAAACGATACCACAACAAAAGAAAAAAGGCATATTAGCCAAAGTCACAGAATGGCACTTGATACAGACAGATAAACTCGGCTACTGCTCTGTTCAATCATTGGGCATCTTTTGAGTTCAATATCATTACGTTTGAAAATGTTTGTCAAATTTTTTTTATGGCAGCCATGTTTGCGTTAATTAATCAATTATATAATCATACAATCAATTTGACTTTGTTTTTACCAATATAACTACAATAATGTATTTTAAAGGTAAATCGCTATTGATAAACTGGGTAAATCAAGATGTAGCCTAGGTCTATTCACAATACGGTGAATGCATATTATTCAATAGGAGTGTGTGCATGCATTGAGTTATTGAGCTTGTTTTAGCTGATTTCATGGGGCAACAGATGACACACAATCCATACAATCTACCATTTAGGACTTATTTTATTGGCGACTGCTCGGAGAACAGATTATTTTATTGTACTGATTAACAACATTTGCATAGAATAATTAATATCTTCTTTTATAAAAGTTTGCGCTGTCTCTTTAAGAATGTAATGACATCATTTGCAAGGCAGATGGGTCTGTGGAATCTGACTAGTGGAAACCAGACTGGAGGTGAATAAGCTTTTGGTGGCGAGGGAGACAAAGCAAATTAATAACGTTTTTGGTGACAATCAGCTTTGAAATCAGCATATTTTGCGTTATGGTTTGCATATTATCACAAAAAGTGCTAGGGTAGTGAATTGATCTTGCTTCAGCTGTAAGCTTGCAAGGAAAGTTAGCCTACAGTTAAAGCTGGAAGCTACCGGGATCGTCTTGTTTTGTAAAAGTGTTTAAACATTTGTACATGCAGTGTTGCATTATTCAAGTGTATAAACTTCTGTGCAGCATTAGTGAGGAGCTAACAATGCAGCCCAGACAGCTCTAGCCAGGGGTTAAAGTTCTCCGTCACTGGGACGGATTTCCGTCGTATGGATTCTGGAGAGGTCATTTTTTTTAGATCAGTGTAGATTTGGTTTGGAGATGACATAGCCTAATACAGACAGAAGCATGTCTGTTCTACTAAATATATTCCCAAATAACTGTGTTCTCAAATATTTAATTTTATCTGTTATGCTGTGTGCACTGAACTGACATGCATGATTGTTGATGACACTCCGATGTTCAGATGAGAGGATTTAAATAGTCTATATAATGCTCAGAACAGCTCAACTCAGACAGCGGTGTGTAGCCTACTGTAGCTGCTGGCGAAGTCATTCAAAGCCTATACTATAACATTTAGGATATCACTTTCCAGTGCTACAATTTTTGCCATGTAATGTTGTTAAAACAAAATCAGACAACCCCATAGTAGAAAAGTTTACCTACAGTGCATTTTGAAAGTATTCAGACCCCTTTACTTTTTCCACATTTTGCTACATTACAGCCTTATTCTAAAATTGATTATATAAAAATTTTCCTCATCAATCTACTACGCACAATACCCCATAATGTGAAAACAGGTTTTTAGAAATTTTAGCAAATGTATTAAAAATACAAAAACGGATACCTTATTTACATAAGCATTCAGACCCTTTTCTATGAGATTAGAAATTGAGGTAAGGTGCATCCTGTTTCCATTGCTCATCCTTGAGATGTTTCTACAACTTCATTGGAGTCCACCTGTGGTAAATTCAATTGATTGGACATGATTTGGAAAGGCACACACCTGTCTATATATATGTGGTCCTCTGTAGCTCAGCTGGTAGAGCACGGCGCTTGTAACGCCAAGGTAGTGGGTTCGATCCCCGGGACCACCCATACACAAATAAATTTTGTATGCACGCATTACTGTAAGTCGCTTTGGATAAAAGCGTCTGCTAAATGGCATATTATTATTATATTATTATAAGGTCCCACAGTTGACAGTGCATGTCAGAGCAAAAAACAAGCCATGAGGTTGAAGGAATTGTCCGTAGAGCTCCGAGACAGCATTGTGTCGAGGCACAGATCTGGGGAAGCATGGTGGCGGCAGCATCATGCTGTGGGGATGTTTTTCAGTGGCAGAGACTGGGAGACTAGTCAGGATCGAGGGAAAGATGAACGGAGCAAAGTACAGAGAGATCCTTGATGAAAACCTGCTCCAGAGCAGACCTGAAAATAGCTGTGCAATGATGCTCCCCATCCAACCTTACAGAGCATGAGAGGATCTGCAAAGAAGAATGGGAGAAACTCCCCAAATACAGGTGTGCCAAGCTTGTAGCGTCAAAGGTGCTTCAACAAAGTACTGAGTAAAGGGTCTGAATACTTATGTAAATCTGATATTTTAGTTTTATTTTATACATTTGCAACAAATTCTAAAAACCTGTTTTTGCTTTGTCATTATGGGGTATTGTGTGTAGATTGATGGAATAAACTATTTAATCAGTTTAAGAATAAGGCTGTAACGTAACAAAATGAGGAAAAGTCAAGGGGTCTGAATACTTTCTGAATGCACTGTATTTACCTAGTCTGCTTGTTGTGTGTTGTATGCAAGATAAATATTCCTCTCGAGGCGCATTCGAGTTGCGAGAGCCAAAGAGAGTGAAATATGTATTCTGACAAGCAGTCAATGCACAACAATTCTTAATGCAATTGTGGGAAAACACTTTTGAAAGCAGTTTTGGCCTTTGTTTAAAAAAGAGAGGGATCCCAGTTTTACGTTGCTACCACAATTATTTCTCTACTCCTTCAATTGCGAGTGTGGCAAATTTTACAAATGCAGTTTTTAGGGCCGTCACGGTAATTGAATAACCGTGTAAGTGAAGGTTATGGATGATGACCGTCATGAAAATAAAATAACAGTCAAAACCGTTTAAATAGGCCTACTTTCATTTGAGGTTTTAGCTTTATTAACTTTATTTTCACGTAGATAAACTTGACCTAATAGCGGGAGTGTGTTTACTAATGATTATAAGAAATAGTTTCGCTAACTTAGTCTGTTTATTAAACGTTCTACATCTCCTCCTCTTTCCAACTGATGATGTGCAGAGGTGTAGGCCGCTATAGGTTATGGCACTTCATTAAAACAAATATTTTGATATGTGGACTTTATTTTATACAATGCACATTTTTATTACTTGCTATTAAATAAATAAATCTGTCTATTAAAAAAGGTTGGATGCATCTGACTGTTGATAAATGATTCAACAGCAGTCGACAAGGTTGTTCTGGCTCTGAGGCTTATAATTAGTCAAATGGACAATGCGCCATCCTCTCCAACCTGGCATGGTATAATTTGATACGGAATCTTTTCTTAATTTATAGACTAATCAATGCTGATCATTACATTTACATTTTAGTCATTTAGCAGACGCTCTTATCCAGAGCGACTTACAGGAGCAATTAGGGTTAAGGGCCTTGCTCAAGGGCACATCGACAGATTTTTTCACCTAGTCGGCTCGGGGATTACAACCAGCGACCTTTCAGTTACTGGTACGACGCTCTTAACCACTAAGCTACCCACCCGGTCCTGGCCGCCCTCCTATCCCCACAAAGTAGAATAGTAGCCTAGGCTATACAGTGTCAGCCGCAATGCACTTTTATGAATGCCTATGTGGTAACCTACCTTTTTATAAAACAGGCAATTTACCGTTAATCCACGTTAATATGTGTATTAATTAGTCATTTACTGTTCTCATTCTCGGAGTGTAAACGTTATTTGCTCACAACCTGCTACACTTGTGAGAAACAAGTTTTGATTTATTTCATACCATCATATACGCGCTCCATGTGAGCAATTAGCGTGTGTCTGGTTTCTTTGTCCTCTTAATGTTGACGGAGCGTGCGCACCTGAGCTCGCATAGAAGTACCTGCCCAGCTGGGCTTTTAAGTAAAAAAAATTTACATCTTCACCTCACACATAAGTCAAGTATTTATTTTATTTTATTTTTTTACATCCATTCAAATTATAATAGTTCCTCACAGTATTTGAAAAATCTTTCTAACACACTCCCCCTCGATAATCAGCATCGCTGATAAATAGGCAATGGACATGTTGCGTGTATTTGTTTCTATTTTAATGATTGTCAGTTTCATCTTCATACTATAGCACAGCTGTCCCGTTCATACTTTCCTTGTCAATTCATTATCTTATAGCCTACTTTCGGAAAGCCTAAGGTAGTCTTAGGTTTTTTTTATATGTTTTAAGGAAATGAGAAATATTTGCTCTTGTGTCTGACGTACGCTGGTGGCTTTGATTGACTGGTCCTTTTACGGGGGGGTGCTGTGTGTGAGTTCGGTGATTCTCTCTAGAGGCCTATATGTCCATCCAGAAAGTTTCCTAAAGTAGCCTGTCTGGACTCCATCTCTTTAATAAGAATTAAACACTCCTGTCATGAATTAATCTTGTAAAGGCTACATTATTTATCTGATTACGGCGTCTTCTCTTTGAAGAACGGTCGAATGATTGCAGCAGCAGGGTTTGTGACGTTATGTGAATATTTTGGGAAAAGTGGGAGAAAACCCGTCGGACTTTGTTTGAATGGTTTTGTGCGTCGAAATAGGATCTGTATACACAATTTTAAAAATTCAGAAAATCCAACGGTATTTACATTTTACATTTTAGTCATTTAGCAGACGCTCTTATCCAGAGCAACTTACAGTTAGTGAATACATATTTTATTTTTTTATTTTTATACTGGCCCCCCGTGGGAATCGAACCCACAACCCTGGCGTTGCAATCGCCATGCTCTATCAACTGAGCTACATCCCTGCCGGCCATTCCCTCCCCTACCCTGGACGTTGCTGGGCCAATTGTGCACCGCCCATGAGTCTCCCGGTCGCGGCCGGCTGCGACAGAGCCTGGATTCGAACCAGGATCTCTAGTGGCACAGTTAGCACTGCGATGCGGCGCCTTAGACCACTGCGCCACTCAGGAGATATGTAGGCACATCTTTAATTGGACTCTCTTAATGTTGTCATTACAAAAATGCGACAGATCCTCTTCAACCTGGCATTTCTTAATTTGTTGATTAATATTTATAAGCATTAACCTGATTAATAACGAAATGCTATGATAATAATGAAGTGTAATGGCTTGTTTCAAATAGGTTTTTATTAAGAAGCATATCCATGTAAACAAGTGTACAAACAGAATTGTGACCTCCCCTTTTTAACTTATTTTTTGGCTATATGCATGGTCCTTTTTTGGAGGGGGTATCGAAAATGTACTGAAGTTTCGGTATACTGTGCAACACTATGGAGGACTCCGGAGTATGTCAGTCAACAAGCTAGGAGTTTGTGTCACACACACAAACACCCTGTGTGATCTCTCCCTGGAAGAGTCAGTCCACATGTTAAACTCATTCGAATGGTAATCTTTCTCTCTGTGGAGATGACAGGGTTTCTCTTCTGGGATCTCCTGTTTTATTCATTGATTTTCAAGGTCTCCAATTAACGATCAAATTATATTTTTAAGGGATTTCATGGCGTTTGAATCACATTGGAGTGCGGAGATATTTGTGTTTGTTGGCCTGAAATTACCCAGAGAAGCATGTTTAATAAAATAAATGCCATTTTGAAAAGGGGTTTGTGTACTTGATTCAGTAAGTCATGATTGTTGACAGATCTAGGATCAGATTACACTAACCATTAGGAGGATGAAAAAAGATCTGACCCGGTATAAGTGGTTAGGAGCAACATCTCTGTACTTTAGTGTTGACTTACCACTCTTTCTGCAGGAGCAGGAGCTGTATCAGAGAGAAGGACTGGGAGTCAATGAAGTTCATTATGTCGACAACCAGGACTGCATAGGTGGGTGCCAATGTCACCTTACTCCGTATTTATTATTAGACATGAGAGGATGTTTATTTCCTCTGCAGTAGGCTGTGAAGCCCATAGATATTGCTATGTTATATTTCATTCTATGTTGGAGCTCTTTCATAAGCCAAAAAATATATCTTGATATTGCACTTACAGTATATTTAGATGCCAGACCAGTGAAACAGGACATTTCTCCCAGCCTGGTTCACACATTCAGTTTATCAACTTGTCATGGTGCAAAGTCAAATTCCCCAAGAGCAGCTCCTAAACTATTTTACTGGTTTAATATGTGGGACAGCACTCTGTAAAAACAAGTTTCTTTGCGATACATACTATACCTGTACTGTAAGCTTCAATGTCAAATGTAATGCAAGGACTGGCTTTAGAAGGAAAAGATGCAATCTCTTTCTGGGTCTCACTGCTGCCTAGCAGTGGCCTCTAGGGACCAAACGGAGAGGCAAGTAGAGGTGTGGGGGGGGGGGGGGGGGGGGGTGAGTGGGTGCAGAGATTGGAGTGGAAATCTCCAGGTACTGGGTGCCTTAGAGTGACATACAGAGACATACAAAGACATGATTACCTTGAAGCCCTGTCTTTTTTAAGGCTCATACAAGACATGATGCGAGAGACTGACAGAGATACAGCCCTCGACAGAGCACTCTCACTTTTAAGAAACTGTGATTGCATGAAATCCCCCCCACGACATGAGTTTGCACTGACTTCCTTCGACTGCACAATTAGGGCCCTATAAAATCCACGGGGAATGCAGACGGTATCACGTAATCCAGACATTACATCGGAATTTAACAAAATAAAAATATATATTGAATTTATTAGAAAATGTATACATTTGCCCAAGATTATCGTAAGACATTAACAAAATGCATCAGTGATTTGTATTTTCCTTAAACTTTCTGAAGAGGCAATGCAGAATGCCCCTGTCTGTGTGTGCACGTTTGTCTACCAGTTTATGTAGCCGTTAGCGATGAAGTCTTCTGGTAGATGGAAAGGCTTTCCCAAAAACCTTCTCAATTAAAATGTTAGCTACAAAGTAGCCAATGCCTACCTGGCAGAATGATATTGTGATTATTTGCATCAATCCAGTGGTGATTTGTTAAGCAAACTCTGCAGTCACATGTGCTACAGAAACACCACTAACCTAACAAGTCTCTTGCTGGTGTGCACTTGAATTAACCTCTTAAGGATCGGACCCTTTTTCTTTCAATTTTCGCCTAAAATGACATACCCAAATCTAACTGCCTGTAGCTCAGGATCTGAAGCAAGGATATGCATATTCTTGATACCATTTGAAAGGAAACACTTAGAAGTTTTTCGGAAATGTGAAATTAATGTAGGAGAATATGACACATTAGATCTGGTAAACGATAATACAAACAAAAAACCATGTGTTTTCAATTTTTTATTTGATTCCATCATCTTTGAAATGCAAGAGAAAGGCCACAATATAATATTGCAATTTAGATTTTGGACACTATAAGGCAGCAGTGTGTGTGCAAAGTTTCAGATTGATCCAGGGAAGCATTGCAATACTGGACTATTTTTAATCAAGTCTGCCCAAATGTGCCGAATTGGTCAATTGATACATTTTCAAGTACATAACTATAGAGAACATACAAAAATGAAATGGTAATACAAAATGTACGTTTACACACTCCCAGGAATGTCATACATGATGGATCATTAGCTTATACATTAACTTTCACACATCTAGATGGCCGGGCGGGGTGGGTGTGGAGCCAGAGACAGCAGGGGTTTAAACTGTAGAACCCAATTCCTACATTTGAATATAAAAATGGATTTTATCAAACAAAACTATGCTACATTTTATCTCTGGGACCCTTAGGATGACAAATCAGAGCAAGATTACTGAAATCAAGTACATTATTTACCTTCAGAGTCGAATGTATCAAACCAGTTGCCGTGATACGTTTTTTGTTGTTGTGCACTCTCCTCAAACAATAGCATGCCATTTTTTCACTGTACTAGCTACTGTAAATTGGACAGTGCAGTTAGATTAACAATAATGTAAGCTTTCTGCCCATATAAGACATGTCTATGTCCTGGAAAGTTTGCTGTTACGGTCATGCTAATCACATTAGCGCACGTTAGCTCAACCATCCCGTATACGGGACACCGATCCCATAGAGGTGAAAGGGTATCTATACCCAAAAATGTAAATGTCTTCAATTTTTCCAAGACCTTAAAAGTATTTTACTGATGTGGTTTAGGCATTGTTTTGGACTTAACATTCCATTTTGTAGTTTTCTATAAAAGTTTTGAGAGCGAAAACCTGAAAAAACTTGGAAATCATAAACCTGAAAAAACAATACAGAGAAAACAGAATTTGGAAAAAAGTAAACGGAATTAGGCAAAAAATGTAACTGATTTTATAGGGCCCTATACAATATAACTTCTCTGGAGTAAGTGGCGAAGAGGGACCACAACATGTGGCTACCCATTAAACCAGGAAGTTGCAATTGTGTAATGAGCATTTGTGGTTGTCAGTGCTCTTTTGTTCCCCTCTGCCTGTGTTTTCATAACACCAACCTCCATTGAATAGGATCAAATGTCCCGTAGGTGGCAATGTGATCCATTTCGATTTGTATATCCAACAGGGTTTTGATTAGTCAGGTGCCAGGTTAACTGCAGCCATGAATAACGTTTGATCCGGGAAAGGGAACATTGAGACACCGATTGCATCTTTCCAGACATTCTGACAGTTGACCGCTCCTCTCTGGAATATGTTAGAATATAACTTTATGGACAATTTGCATATGGTTTCACACAGTGACATTGAGAAACGTTCAAAACACTGACCGCATTACAACATTAGGAGCACAGGACAACTTTCCCCCTTGCAGATCAATAAAGTACTTTCTTATCTTATTCGTATCTTAATCATTTGACTTGAATTGACTATGCTGCTGACTATATCCGTAATAATGCATTAATGTATTCCCATAGACCTGGTGGAAGCCAAACTAGTGGGCATCCTGGACATTCTGGATGAAGAGAACCGTCTACCACAGCCCAGCGACCATCACTTTGCCAACACCATCCACAGCCAGCACAAAGACCACTTTAGACTGACGGTGAGAGCTTTGGGTGGAAGTTGCCTGCAGGCACATATCTGGGATCAGCTTACCCACCCTGGATCCTAACCTGAACCATCTATGTTGAAAAATGCTAAACTGACCTTAGATCAACATTTAGTGAACTGATACTCTTAAACTGTTACTGCCCTCTCACCACACTTAAATGCCAAGGGGTCACAATGGGATTGTAATGGACATTCTGGTACTTTGTCTATGTGAAAAGCCCCAGTCCCTTTCTTAGGGAACTTTTGTCCCGCTTTCTGGAAGCTTGACAGGCGTAAAATCCTGTTTTAAATGCAGCATTGATATAAATTCGGACCAACAGATTAGACTGGGCTCGCTACAGCTGGTTTTTAGGTCATATTAATCATCACTTTCATATGGAAATGAGGAATATTCTCTCAGTTGTGTATGGTCATATAATATGAATCATAATTGCCATATAGTATGATACTACCACAGCTAGGTGAGTATCCTAATAGTGTCCACAGATCGTGCACAATGATGAGGGTGTTATAGAAGACATTCGCCATCACCACTACAGCCCAGTCTATCTTACACAACAGACAGAAAGACACACACACACTTATATCTATCTAATATGTTGCTGCCGTCTCTCAGGTCCCTAGGAAGTCGAAGCTGGCTGTCCATAGGAACGTCAGAGATGATGAAGGCTTCATCGTCAGACACTTTGCCGGAGCTGTGTGCTACGAGACGGTAACACTCACGCACATCGATTATATTTTGATTTGCTCTTGTGATTGCTTGTTGTTTAACCTTGTATGATTGTGTGATGTAACCATGTCATACTATACACAGTTATATCTCAGACGTGGTGTAACTATGTAGCAATTTTAAATACTGCTGCTGGTAATAGTCTTCTCAGCTTGTTAGTAGGGCTGGAAATTGCTAGGGACCTCAGGATACAATATTATCACGATACTTAGGTGCCGATATAATTTGATTGGTCTACCTTTTTAAACATGCATTTTTCCATTTATAGACACTAGGGTTGTCCCCGAATAATACATTAATTAATAGTGGTCGACCGAGAGTCGTCTGTTCTTTCGGCTAATCGATTGGTCGACATTTTGAAACGTGTATTTTTCTATACAGTGCCTTCAGAAAGTATTCACACCCTTTTACTTTTTCCACATTTTGTTGCGTTACAGCCTGAATTTAAAATGGATTAAATTGAGATTTTTGGTCACTGGCCCTACACACAATACCCCATAATGTCAAAGTGGAATTAATTAATAAAAAGCTGAAATGTCTTGAGTCAATAAGTATTCAACCCCTTGGTTATGGCAAGCCTAAATAAGTTCAGGAGTAAAAATGTGCTTAACAAGTCACATAATAAGTTGCATGGACTCTGTGTGCAATAATAGTGTTTAACATGATTTTTGAATGACTACCTCATCTCTGTACCCCACACATGCAATTATCTGTAAGGTCCCTCAGTCGAGCAGTGAGTTTCAAATACAGACCACAGACCAAGGACACCTATTGGTAGATGGGTAAAAATAAAACAATTAGACATTGAATATCCCTTAGAGCAGTGGTTCCCAAACTGTCAGGCGATGGTCGTCAGGGGGGACGCGGCGGGGGTCCCCCCCCCCAAAAAAAAATGAACTCAGTCAGGCGTTAAATTTACTCTTGTTATAGTAGAATGCACAAGGTGCAATTTCTAAATTGGGTAATTCATCATCAGTTCCTCTTGTCATGTTAGTCATTGCATTCCTTAGAGAGCTATTTATAACTTGTCAGAAATGTCCAGATCAACTAGCCCAATTAGATATGAATTAGAAAATTCTCTCCACCAACGAGGGGTGTGAACAGTTTGTGTCATGAACAGTGCTTGTGCCTTTAGACATAGACGTGGCATCCTATTTGCAATAAAGCACTAAAGTAAAACTGCACAAAATGTGGCTTAAATACAAAGCGTTATGTTCTGGGCAAATCCAACCCGTCACATCACTGAGTACCACTCTTCATATTTTCAAGCATGGTGGTGGCTGCATCATGTTATGGGTGTGCTCAACGGCAAGGACTAGGGAGTGTTTTTAAATAAAAAGAAATGGAATAGAGCTAAACACAGGCAAAATCCTAGAGGAAAACCTGGTTCCGTCTACTTTCCACCAGACACTGGGAGACAAATTCACCTTTCAGCAGGACAATAACCTAAAACACAAAGTCAATTCTACACTGGAGTTGCTTACCAAGACGAATGTTCCTGAGTGGCCTAGTTACAGTTTTGAATTAAATCGGCTTGAAAATCTATGGCAAGACTTAAAATAATAATGTGCAAATATTGTACAATCCAGGTGTGCAAAGCTCAGAGACTTACACAGAAAGACTCACAGCTGTAATCGCTGCCAAAGGTGATTCTAACATGTATTGACTCGGGGGGTTTAATATTTATCTAATCAAGATATATTAGTGTTTATTTTTCGTATAGTTTTTTTATACAAATGTTAAGAGTATTTTGTCTAGATCGTTGACAAAAAAAGTACAATTAAATCCATTTTAATCCCACTTTATAACACAACAAAATGTGGAAAACGTGAAGGGGTGTGAATACTTTCTGAAGACACCCTATGTGTTTTAATAAAAACAACTGCACATAAACACAATTTCAAAGATTTACTGAGTTACAGTTCATATAAGGAAATTAGTCAATTGAAATAAGTTCATTAGGGCCTAATCTATGAATTTCACATTTAAATTTTTTACATTTTGGCACAACGCTCTTAACCACTAAGCTACCTGCCGCCCCAAGACTGGGAATACAGGGACTCATGACTGGGAATACAGATATGCATCTGTTGGTCACAGATACCTTTAAAAAAATAATAATAATAGGGGTGTGGATCAGAAAGGCAGTCAGTATCTGGTGTGACCGCCATTTGCCTCATGCAGCGCAACAAATCTCAGGCTGTTGATTGCGGCCTGTGGAATGTTGTCCCACTCCTCTTCAATGGCTGTGCAAAGCTGCTGGATATTGGCGGAAACAGGAACACGCTGTGGTACACGTCGATCCAAAGCATCCCAAACATGCTCGATGGGAATGGGTGACATTTCTGGTGAGTATGCAGGCAATGGAAGAACTGTGACATTTTCAGCTTCCAGGAATTGTGTACAGATCCTTGCGACATGGGGCTGTGCATTGTCATGCTGAAACATGAGGTGATGGCGGCGGATGAATGGCACGACAATGGGCCTCAGGATCTCATCACAGTATCTCTGTGCATTCAAATTGCCATCGATAAAATGCAACTGTGTTCGTTGTCCGTAGCTTATGCCTGCCCATACCATAACCCCACCACCACCATGGGGCGCTCTGTTCACAAGGTTGACATCACCAAACCGCTTGCCCACACGACCCAATCTGCCCAGTAGAGTTGAAACCAGGATTCATCCGTGAAGAGCGCACTTCTCCAGCGTGCCAGTGGCCATCATAGGTGAGCATTTGCCCGCTGAAGTCAGTTACGACGGCGAACTGCAGTCAGGTCAAGACCCTGGTGAAGACGACGAGCACGCAGATGAGCTTTCCTGAGACGGTTTCTGACAGTTTGCGCAGAAATTATTTGGTTGTGCAAACCCACAGTTTCATCAGCTGTCCAGGTGGCTGGTCTCAGAAGAAGGTGAAGAAGCCGGATGTGGAGGTCCTCGGCTGGCGTGGTTACACGTGGTCTGCGGTTGTGACGGCGGTTGGTTGTGGTCAGAAGTTGTGTGATTGTGGTCAGAAGTTGTGTGGTTGCGGGTCAGTAGTTGTTGTCAGAAGGTGAGTGGTCAGAAGTTGTGTGGTTGTGGTCAGTAGTTATGTGGTTGTGGTGACTAGATGTGATCAGCAGTTGTGTGGTTGTGGTCAGTAGTTGTGTGGTTGTGGTCAGCAGTTGTGTGGTTGTGGTCAGCAGTTGTGTGGTTGTGGTCAGCAGTTGTGTGGTTGTGGTCGGAAGTTGTGCGGTTGTGGTCGGAAGTTGTGCAGTTGTGGTTGGTAGTTGTGTGGTTGTGGTCAGTAGTTGTGTGGTTAGCAGTTGTGGTCAGTAGTTGAGTGGTCAGTAGTTGTGTGGTCAGAAGTTGTGTGGTTGTGGTCAGCAGTTGTGGTCAGTAGTTGAGTGGTCAGTAGTTGTGTGGTCAGAAGTTGTGTGGTTGTGGTCAGTAGTTGTGTGGTTGTGGTCAGCAGTTGTGGTCAGTAGTTCTGTGGTCAGTTGTGTGGTTGTGGTCAGTAGATGAGTGGTCAGTAGTTGTGTGGCTGTGGTCAGTAGTTGTGTGGTCAGAAGTTGTTTGGTTGTGGTCAGAAGATGAGTGGTTGGTAGTTGTGTGGTTGTGGTTAGAAGTTGTGTGGTTGAGGTCACTAGATGTGGTAAGCAGTTTTGTGGTTGTGGACAGTAGTTGTGTGGTCAGTAGATGAGTGGTCAGTAGTTGTGTGGTTGTGGTCAGTAGTTGTGTGTTTGAGGTCTCTAGATGTGGTAAGCAGTTTTGTGGTTGTGGTCAGTTGTTGTGTGGTCAGTAGTTGTGTGGTCAGAAGTTGTTTGGTTGTGGTCAGTTAAAATTAAAGTGGAAAACCACACAACAGGCTGATCCAAATTTGATGTAATATCCTTAAAACAAGTCAAAATGAGGCTCAGTAGTGTGTGTGGCCTCCACGTGCCTGTATGACCTCCCTACAACGCCTGGGCATGCTCCTGATGAGGTGGCGGATGGTCTCCTGAGGGATCTCCTCCCAGACCTGGACTAAAGCATCCGCCAACTCCTGGACAGTCTGTGGTGCAACGTGGCGTTGGTGGATGGAGCGAGACATGATGTCCCAGATGTGCTCAATTGGATTCAGGTCTGGGGAACGGGCGGGCCAGTCCATAGCATCAATGCCTTCCTCTTGCAGGAACTGCTGACACACTCCAGCCACATGAGGTCTAGCATTGTCTTGCATTAGGAGGAACCCAGGGCCAACTGCACCAGCATATGGTCTCACAAGGGGTCTGAGGATCTCATCTCTGTACCTAATGGCAGTCAGGCTACCTCTGGCGAGCACATGGAGGGCACACCATGACTGACCCACCGCCAAACCGGTCATGCTGGAGGATGTTGCATGCAGCAAAACGTTCTCCACGGCGTCTCCAGACTCTGTCACGTCTGTCACGTGCTCAGTGTGAACCTGCTTTCATCTGTGAAGAGCACAGGGCGCCAGTGGCGAATTTGCCAATCATGGTGTTCTCTGGCAAATGCCAAACGTCCTGCACGGTGTTGGGCTGTAAGCACAACCCCCACCTGTGGACGTCAGGCCCTCATACCACCCTCATGGAGTCTGTTTCTGACCGTTTGAGCAGACACATGCACATTTGTGGCCTGCTGGAGGTCATTTTGCAGGGCTCTGGCAGTGCTCCTCCTGCTCCTCCTTGCACAAAGGCGGAGGTAGCAGTCCTGCTGCTGGGTTGTTGCCCTCCTACGGCCTCCTCCACATCTCCTGATGTACTGGCCTGTCTCCTGGTAGCGCCTCCATGCTCTGGACACTACGCTGACAGACACAGCAAACCTTCTTGCCACAGCTCGCATTGATGTGCCATCCTGGATGAGCTGCACTACCTGAGCCACTTGTGTGGGTTGTAGACTCCGTCTCATGCTACCACTAGAGTGAAAGCACCGCCAGCATTCAAAAGTGACCAAAACATCAGCCAGGAAGCATAGGAACTGAGAAGTGGTCTGTGGTCACCAACTGCAAAACCAGTCCTTTATTGGGGGTGTCTTGCTAATTGCCTATAATTTCTACCTGTTGTCTATTCCATTTGCACAACAGCATGTGACATTTATTGTCAATCAGTGTTGCTTCCTAAGTGGACAGTTTGATTTCACAGAAGTGTGATTGACTTGGAGCTACATTGTGTTGTTTAAGTGTTCCCTTAATTTTTTTGAGCAGTGTATATCAGTCGAATTATGTGCACATTTCATTCTATTAATTTTAGGCTATTTAAATTAAATATCAGCTACAATTTCGTTATCAAGATGTTGGTCCTAGATTAATAAATGGTATATAAATGGAATGATATGCCCATTGAATTCCATTGCATTTCACGTTGGGGGACCAAACAACAAATGGTCTAAAGAGTTTTGGAGCAGGTCCCGGCCATACGACGGGTATTGATTGACGATCGAGACCAAAAGCATTTAGATCCGTCATGGCAGGTCATCAATGTTCTGCAATCGGTCAATGCCGCACTGAAGCCTGTGGCCGACTTCACTGATATCTTATCTGGGGAGAACTATGTGACGGCGTTGTCAGTCGAGCCTGTTTTACGACTTTTAACGGGACAGATTCTCTCTCCCAAACCCAACGACTCAGAGCTAACAAAAAAAATATAAAAGATGTGCAGTATATTGCACGACAAGTACAAATCCCCAGCACTTCAGGGGCTTTTGTCAAAGGCCTGCCTACTTGACCCCCGGTACAAAGGCCGTGTGGGAGATGGCTTGGATGGCACGAAAGATGCCCTCCTTCAGGAGATGTTGGCACTCGGGGAAGTAGACGGAGGCGGCACCAGCTGTACAGCTGGAGATGGGGATAACTGTGCACAGCTCCCGGCTAAAAATATTAATCTTGGTGATCTTCTTAGAGAAGAAACTGGCCCAGAATGCTCCCCTCCCGGTACCCTTGAGAGTGCGTGCCGACACCGAGATGACCCGCTATATGGAAGAGAAGGAACCGGACACATCTGCTGACCCATTGTCATGGTGGCGGGATAACCTTTTGGCTCTGCTTGCTAAAAAGTATGTGCATTTGCGCTACCAGCACTGCGTCATAGAGGGTGTTCAGCACAGCAGGGAACATAGTTACCTCTCTCCGGTCTTCACTGAAGCCGACAAAGTAAACATGCTGGTGTTTTTTAATCGGAACCTTATAGCCTAACGTTGGCTAGTGCTATAGCCTATGATAGTGGACTGAAACAATAGCCTTTATAGGCAACAGGCAGCTTAAACTTTGAGCGCAATAGTTGTATTATAATTAGAAGTGTCTTATTTATTTGTGTGCTAGTATTACTATTTCAGTGTTTTTATTCATATTGTTTTACATGAATCCCCTTTTAAACTAAAAAAGAGAAAATACGAAAATTCCTATATGAAAGGCTAAGTAGCTTACAGACGCTATTTGTCACCATGCAGCTTTTTGTTGTCTTCAGTAAAAAAGAAAGACCATAAACAGAATTGTGTGTATGCTAAATCATAACAGCTTAATCATTATAAAATGGTGATGGTGATGGTGGTGTTTAGCCTGCCCAGCTGGAATTTGCCCATTTTAAAATCGAAACTAATTTCACACATGTAGGCATTACACTGCGACAAGAAATTGTGTATGCCTTTTTTCAGATGTTTTTTTTTTTTTTACATCATCAATATAGTGGAATCATGCAGCCCATATATGTTTTGATTTCATAAGCCATTCTAAGGTTTGTATCATTCACAACTAAAGTTGACAAATAACTCAAAATTAAGCATATAACCTGTTTCAAATGATCACTTTTTAAGCTGAACACAGAATAACCGCTCCATGTGTGCACTAGCTCGGAAAAATATCCTTTCAATTTTATTCAGCGAAGTTCAATTATATTCTTACTATAAAATCAGATAATATAAAATAATGGCACTTCATATTATACATTTCATAAGAAAGACCAGCCTAAAATAAATAATAGATTTATTCTGATGGTGTACAGGCAATTAAATGGATTTATTACACTTTAGACTTTTAAAATGTTGATGTTTCAAAGGCACGCATCAGCAGCTTGCATGTGTGGAACCCCTTTATGTTCATTAACGGTCAATTACCGTGAGACCGACAGTTATTTGCTTGACAATCAGCGGCTGACCGCTACAGCCCTAGTTGCGGTCAGTTGTTGTGTGGTCAGTAGTTGTGCGGTTGTGGTCTGTAGTTGTGTGGTTCAGTTGTTGTTGTGTGGTCAATATTTGTGTGGTTGGAAAAAGTTTGGGGGAAATGTTGTAATGCAGTTACTAAAACAGCTGTACCGTAAGATGCGTAGTGAATATTTTGGTTTCGCGAACCGATATGAATAGCAGAGAAGTAGAGGAAGATTTCATACCCTCTAACTTTTTGTCTAAATTGTTGTGGTAGTGGTCAAAACGGCAGTTGTTTGAAAAAAAGTTACAGAAAACAGCTGTAACTTCTTATCAGAATATAATTTTTGGTTCAAACACCAGATTTGTGTAGCATGGAAGTAGAAGAAGATGTAAACGCTCTAACTTTTTGTCTAAGTAGTTGCAAAGTGGTCAAAGTAGCTGATTTGTGTCAAAAGTTGCATTATTGCTTTTACAGTGAATTGCAGTTGGAGGTGATGATGTCATAATGGGGAGCTTTAGAATGTTGAGAAAAATGCCATGAAAGTAAATGAAACTAAAAAATGTATAACGTAAAAAGTATAAAAGATATCAAAAGGTTGTATACAAGCAAATCGAGTGAGACCAATCAGCACGTTTTAAAGTTCGAACAGCGTTTGTAGCTTAAACTGTGTAGAAGGAGTAGCATGCTAAAGAAGAAGGAGAAGTATGTCAAAGATTGAAGCTGGGGCTTTTGCTGCGTAAGCACCACAATTAGTTTCGATCAGTCGTGGAAATAAAAGTGCAGAAAGTTTTTTGGCTCACTATTTTAAAAGAAGATTGAGAACAAGCTATAGGATGAAAAATACCAGAGTTTTGGCTCAGGTACAGCAGACTAGCACTAAGTAACACTACCAAAAAATAAGTACTGTATCTTTTATAATATCATCCAAAACAATATGTAACTGTATTGATTTTTTCCCCTATCAATACTTGTTAGCACACACGACAAAGTCTGTTTATGTATTTGTCATGTTTTTTCTGTGCACATGTGTGCGTTTGCAGACCCAGTTTGTAGAGAAGAATAATGATGCCCTCCACATGTCTTTGGAGAGCCTGGTGTGTGAGTCCAAGGATAAGTTTGTGCGAGAGCTTTTTGAGAACTCCAACAACAGCAAGGACTCCAAGCAGAAGGCTGGCAAACTCAGCTTCATCAGTGTGGGCAACAAATTCAAGGTGAGGAAGGAGACTGTAGCATCACCTGACTCTGAGATGACACTTTGAAAGAAAAACACACCGCAAGTTCTTATTAGTTTGTGTGAACCTACAATTCTTAGTGTTTGATATTGTTTCACATTCTACTTTCGCTGTTGAAGTGAATAGTGTGTTTAGTTTGTAGTCTAATGCTTTTCTTATTGCTTATTTCAGATTGTTGTTTCAGATGCTATGACACAATGTTAGAGAAATCGCTGTGCACTGTTTTCCAACTTTGAATTTCTAACGCCTCTCCCCTCCCACCCACGTTTCTTCCATCCCTCCTTTCCTCTGTAGACCTCCTCCAGTCTCCTACCTCTTTTCCCAAGAAATCCTTCCTTTGTGGATGAAGTCAGCTAGAGAGTGTGGTGAAAAAGTCAGAGATAGAAAGTAGCAGCCAGGCTAAAGTCTGTCACAAGGAAGCATAGAGTCAGCCAGGGACAGAAGGTAACTCTCCCTGTAGATTGTTTCAACAACACCGTGCTGTACCAGCAGATGCACGCAGAGCACCCATCACTTTTTTCCTGTCATATTCCCTCTCCACCTGTCTTTGTCTATGGTCTTTGTGTGCCGTGATGCTTGAGTTGATGCTTTTATCACTAATTCATAAGATAAGGTGGACACAATGACCTGAGTGTAGCGTTGCAGAGAAAAGAGCAAGATCTTTTCAGCTTAATGACACAAATGTGCTTTAATAAAACATAAAATCATGAGGAAAGTTAGGCAATATGAGCCAATATATTACAATGCTGTGAGGAAGGGAACGTAGTCAAGTTTTCCTTTTTATTCGAATGTCTTTAACAGATTCATCCCTACTATGAGCAGTGAAAGATACGTGTATTCAGGACACTCATTCATTCGTCAGTTATCGTTTTCTGGAATACATCCCTTTATCTCGTGTTTCCAAAAAGTATTTGCTTGGCACAGTTTCAGTCAATTTTTTATATAACTTGAGAAATCATCCAAATTCATTTAGGACTGTTGAAAGCAAATCGTATTGAGAACAGTGCAAGTGGCATTTGCAGAATCGTCATGAGTCATGCATGGTTTTCTTTGTCTTTCCATGTGCTGTTATCCCTCACCTGTTCACATGGAAGCATGTTTGACTTTCTTTTGGATATGTCAACATTATAATTATTGCTTTTCTTCAGTTGTAAATGTGCAATGTCAAATATAATCCCAATTTGTTTGTAAGCGCTCCTTAACCCCTTTTTGTGCATTGCGGTGGGACTCAGACTAAGTATTAAGGAAGCGTTTTCTCTGCCTGCCTTCACAGACCCAGCTGAACCTACTGCTGGAGAAGCTTCACAGCACTGTGAGTATCTGTCCCATACCTGTTGTCCTCTCTCACACACTGGTAGTCAGGAAGTGGCCTCAGATTGGATGTGATCGATGGATATGTAATGGATATGATTTGCCTGTCTTTCAAAGGGCTCCAGCTTCATTCGCTGTGTAAAACCCAACTTAAAGATGGTGAGCCACCATTTTGAAGGAGCCCAGATTCTGTCTCAGCTGCAGTGTTCAGGTATGGGCTAGGAGAGTAAGAACATACTCTCAAAACAATCATTAATACAATCACATTGTAAAAAAAAAAGTAAACATTAGTTCATTATCAGTTATAAAGATTAGAACAGACACACACACACACACCTCTTTTGGTTTTGGTTCCTTTTCAAGACATTTCTCTCCCCTTTCCTCACCAGGCATGGTGTCAGTGCTGGACCTAATGCAGGGCGGCTTCCCCTCCCGAGCCCCCTTCCATGAGCTCTACAACATGTACAAACAATACATGCCTGACAAGCTCACACGACTGGACCCCAGGCTCTTCTGCAAGGTGGGGGGCTCCCCCAAACACAGCATTACATTTCATATGTAACCTTGCATTACTCAGATGTTTATACATTTACGAGACGTCGACTGATGGTTTTGGTTCTTGCTCCTCTGCAGGCTTTGTTCAAAGCACTGGGGCTGAATGAGAATGACTACAAGTTTGGGTTGACCAGAGTATTCTTCCGTCCTGGGAAGGTAAGCACTGCTTTCTGCTGTCTTTTTAATACTCTGCAGCAGTGTTTCCTAAACTCTGTCCTGGGGACCCTAATAGGTGCACGTTTTTGGTTTCGCCCCAGCACTACACAGTTGATTCAAACAATCAACTCGTCAAGCTTTGATTTTTCAAATCAGCTGTGTAGTGCTGGGGCAAAAACCAAAATGTACACCCATTAGGGTCCCCAGGACCGAGCTTGGGAAAAGCTGCTCTACACTCTATACATGATTCACATAGGCCCAAATGACCTTGAGTGATTCTGTTGTTGTCCTGTTTCTGGGTCAGTTTGCAGAGTTTGACCAAATCATGAAGTCAGACCCAGACCACCTGGCAGAGCTGGTGAAGAAGGTCAACCAGTGGCTGGTCGTCAGCCGCTGGAAGAAGGTCCAGTGGTGTGCCCTTTCTGTCATCAAACGTACGTCAACCCCCCTGACTCATACTCATACTGAGCTGGAGGACACACTGTGGAACCTCCTCGTTAACAATAATAAAGTATTTAGTTGTTAGGGACAGATACAATTAATAATCTGTTGCATTGCACCATCATGCTTGAGCTGATTTGCAGCATTAGGCACTAGACAGGCTTTAAAATGGTGAATAAGAAAATAAAGGAATATAACTTTGAAAAGAGCCAACGTAACAAAAAAAAGTTTAAACGATTTCTGCTGAGTCAGGAGTTGCTAAACTTCCCCTTCATGATATGTCATATTTGAGGCTATATGCACTGCTACGGCTGGCTGCACTTCCATTTCTTTTCCTTCAAAAAACTCCAACTTAATATCCCTACAAGTTCAGTCAACAGATCATAGGGAATGTAGCTTTAGCTCTGTTTGTGTGAATAGGCCCAATACTATGCTGATGATTGGATTTGAGGATGTATTTGTCTCTTCTCTCTCTCCCTCTTACTCACTTTCTCTCGCTCTCTCTCGCTTTCTGTCTTACTCACTGACTTTCTCTCTCTTGCTCTCGCTCTATCTCTACCCCCCCAGTGAAGGAGAAGATGAAGTATCGTGCTACTGCCCTTATTAAGATTCAGAAGACCGTCCGCATGTGGCTCTGTAAGAGGAAACATAAGCCACGGTGGGTACACACAAACACACATTCTCTTTCTTTGAAAGTCCTTCACACTCTGTGCCTTTTGATAGCTTCTCCACATTGTGCAGTTAGAAGTTCAAATCAATCTGGAGAGCTCAGCCGTGAGTCCTGGCACGCTCTGTCACCATATTGCATTAAGAAATGTTAGTCTTACTGTATTACTTTTGAAAATACAGTATGTAGTTTTCATATTGCTTTTGGAAAAAACAGTGGGGAAAAAAAGTATTTAGTCAGCCACCAATTGTGCAAGTTCTCCCACTTAAAAAGATGAGAGAGGCCTGTACTTTTCATCATAGGTACACGTCAACTACAGACAAAATGAGATTTTTTTTCTCCAGAAAATCACATTGTAGGATTTTTAATGAATTTATTTGCAAATTATGGTGGAAAATAAGTATTTGGTCAATAACAAAAGTTTCTCAATACTTTGTTATATACCCTTTGTTGGCAATGACACAGGTCAAACGTTTTCTGTAAGTCTTCACAAGGTTTTCACACACTGTTGCTGGTATTTTGGCCCATTCCTCCATGCAGATCTCCTCTAGAGCAGTAATGTTTTGGGGCTGTCGCTGGGCAACACGGACTTTCAACTCCCTCCAAAGATTTTCTATGGGGTTGAGATCTGGAGACTGGCTAGGCCACTCCAGGACCTTGAAATGCTTCTTACGAAGCCACTCCTTCGTTGCCCGGGCGGTGTGTTTGGGATCATTGTCATGCTGAAAGACCCAGCCACGTTTCATCTTCAATGCCCTTGCTGATGGAAGGAGGCCCCATTCATTCTTTCCTTTACACGGATCAGTCGTCCTGGTCCCTTTGCAGAAAAACAGCCCCAAAGCATGCTGTTTCCACCCCCATGCTTCACAGTAGGTGTGGCCGCAACTCGGCATTCTTTGTCCTCCAAACACGACGAGTTGAGTTTTTACCAAAAAGTTCTATTTTGGTTTCATCTGACCATATGACATTCTCCCAATCCTCTTCTGGATCATCCAAATGCACTCTAGCAAACTTCAGACGGGCCTGGACATGTACTGGCTTAAGCAGGGGGACACGTCTGGCACTGCAGGATTTGAGTCCCTGGCGGCGTAGTGTGTTACTAATGGTAGGCTTTGTTACTTTGGTCCCAGCTCTCTGCAGGTCATTCACTAGGTCCCCCCGTGTGGTTCTGGGATTTTTGCTCACCGTTCTTGTGATCATTTTGACCCCACGGGGTGAGATCTTGCGTGGAGCTCGACTGTGTGTGACTGTTTGAGGTTGTGGACAGGTGTCTTTTATACTGATAACAAGTTCAAACAGGTGCCATTAATACAGGTAACGAGTGGAGGACAGAGGAGCCTCTTAAAGAAGACGTTACAGGTCTGTGAGAATCTTGCTTGAATCTCACAGTTACAGGTCTGTGAGAATCTTGCTTGTTTGTAGGTGACCAAATACTTATTTGCAAATAAATTCATAAAAAATCCTACAATGTGATTTTCTGGATTTTCTTTTCTCAATTTGTCTGTCATAGTTGTTGTGTACCTATGATGAAAATTACAGGCCTCTCTCATCTTTTTAAGTGGGAGAACTTGCACAATTGGTGGCTGACTAAATACTTTTTTTCCCCACTGTATATATTGCTTTTGTGAATGGGTCCATCCGGTTGATGAGTTTTTGAATTGACTTGTTATCATGGACTGCTCAGGACCCTAGAAAATGTGTGATAGGTCGTTTCACAGATAAAGCCAAAGGCAGCTGAGAGTTCTGTTTTTCATTTGAAATACATTTGCAAAAAAATGTAAAAGCATGTTTTCACTTTGTCATTGTCTGGTATTGTGTGTAGATTGGTGAGAAAAAAATTCTGATTAATACATTTTGAATTCAGGCTGTAACACAACAAAATGTGGAATAAATCAAGGGGTATGAATTCTTTCTGAAGGCACAGTATATGTTCTGTGAATAGGTTATTATGTAGCTTGCACAAAACGACCTAATAGAGTTGAAATGTGAGTTCACACAAGAAACCATTTTCAAGCATAAAAACTAATATAGACTTTTATTAATCTCAACCAAAACGATGTGTGTGTTTTGGCACGTGCGCGTTTTAGTGCTCACACTTATATGTGGTTGCACGTATACTTTAATGTGCTCCTACGTGTGTGTGTTCATATGTATGTGTGTGTTGCGGCCACAGCATCGATGGCATGGTGAAGGTGCGTAACCTGAAGACACGGATGGAGCGATTCAACGAGGTAGTGGGTGCACTGAAGGAGGGCAAGCAGGAGATGGCCAAGCAGATCCAGGAGCTGGGGGCCTCCATCGACACCCTCATGGCCAAGATTAAGGTGAGGGCAGCTCCGGGGTGAAGTTGCTCGAAGGCAGAGATCTAGGTTCAGCTCCTAATCAGGGAATTGCAAAACTGACCCAAGATCAGCGTCTAGGGGCAACTTCACCCTAAACCGAGAAGGCCAGGGTGACTCACCTCTCTTACTTTTCTAATCTCACAGATCTCATCTCTCTGTCATCTCAGCAGGAAGCCATTTCCTGGGTGTAATGATGTCATGTCATAGTATTGTGAGGACAGAGGTAGAGTTACGAGATAAGTGGTTTGGGGTCATGAAGTCTACATTCCTTATGTCAAGGTAGATTAGTGATGTTTAGGATAGCATGAGTGATGGGCAGGATAGTGACTTGGGGTAAAGAGTGATGAACATCAAAGACAGGGAGTGCCCATGGAGACTGGAGACTTACCAGATGTATGCCAGGAAGAGGGTAATAGAAGATATATGAGGTAGAGTGTTTCCTTTGTTCAAGTTAGTTCGTAACACCAAGGGCAAAGCTCTGGTCATTGTTGTAACGAACCCGGTACCGATCATTAAATATTTGCATTAACTTTCTACAAAGTGTCTAACTAAATTCTTGCATCCTTGATTACTTGAACACCCGAGAAACTCATCATAACACTGGGGTTGTTTTTGATGTTCCCTCAAAACAATTTCTGCACTGAGCAAATGTAATGTCTGCTGAGCGCTATGTTGTGAAAATTCTGGCGTGCGTTTTCTGTGAACACTGAGGCTGTACCCACTTTAAATTATAGTTTTAACAGTGGCTAAGTAGGCTACTGTGGCTATTTGATCATAATATATGCCTACCAGAGTGGCCTACCATCAAAACCCATGGAGAAAATGCATCCCATAATATTTTAACATGGAAATAGCTATTGAAATAGCTGTTCTATCATTCAGCCTACAGTATCAGCCAATGTGTGGTGTTCAATGTAGGCCTAGATTCCATGAGACTTTGGAAAAGATGCAGGGCTTGACATTATCTTGTTTAGCCACTCAAACAAGGTGACTGAAAATGTTTTTGTGTTTGATGCAAGAAACCACTTTGCAAAATACCATTCAATATTATTCCCATACCATTATTATTACAGAGAATCAGGGGGGGGAAAATATGCTACCCTCTGCCTATTGGCTTCTTGGCTTATTCAAACCTGTCTCAAAATACAACACTGCCTCTTTAAGACATAAAAAAGCTCTTTACCTGACTCGATTTTCAATGATTTTCAATGATGGCTAGAAGTTTACACGTTGTGTGCTCTTCTAGGAAGCAATCACACCTCGATTGCTCACCAGAAATGAGTTGTAACTGGGCTAATAACTCACTAACTAGCAAAGAATATGAATAAATGTGCACATGAGGCTACACGCGGTTATGCGCTTTGATCTCAAAACAAGCGCATCTTCTCGCGAGCGCTCGTGCCCGTCAATGCAATAGAATCCTCCGACAATGCACTCTGCCTAAAACAAAATCACAGACTAAGTCTTACAGAGTTAGCTTTGTTTCGGTATGTTGCTTTGAAAGGGGCTAGTACTATGTTGATTCGATCACAATTCCCACAGTAGAGGGAAAGGTTGATAGTGTAAACTAACGGGGCCAACTGTAGTGTAGTTCAATCTCGTGCGTCTCTTCACGGGCTGGCATTTCTTCCGCGCGGCAGTCTTGGTGGAGCTTCCCGAACGCACAGCTTAGAGGGAACATTGGTTGATTCGATGTGTAATCCTCTAATATGGATAAATATGGTTAGGCAATTCCCCTGTCTCCCTCTGCTAGAAACACCAGTGTTTGGGGCCTCTAGATGTATGGCACATCAACCCAACCCACATGCTATCCAAACTCTGAAATTGATTCCCAAATTTTTTTAGTGTTGTCTGTAAACTTTGTCTTTGTAGCCAGATGCGTGTTATTGGCAGAGGTAGCTAGCTAGAGCGCCGGTAGCCATCCCTTAGACTAGATGACTGGAATCCGAACAGAACCTTTTCTGTCTCATTCTCCCTTTCTCTCCTTCCTTACTTCCCTCCCTTACTCCCTAGTTCAGTCACCTCTGTGCGTCTGCCCAACCCTGCGCTCCTCTGTTATCCCCGTGTAGCTCAGTTGGTAGAGCATGGCGCTTGCAACGCCAGGGTTGTGGGTTCGATTCCCACGGGGGGCCAGTATAAAAAAATTAAAATTATGCACTCAAACTGTAAGTCGCTCTGGATAAGAGCGTCTGCTAAATGACTAAAATGTAAAATGTTCACTAGTGCCTGATGCTGTTCTCAGCCCTATATGAAGCCTGTAGCGTTAGCATCGCTATCTGAATTATACATGTCATAAACAATGGCTGTCATTTAGTCAGCGGCGTCAGACCCCATTCCAGCAGGGAAGACCCTCAAACCCATGGACAGTTTTAAATAAACTTTTGTATGTGCATAGGAAATTAGGAAAGTTGAATGAGATTCTGGGATATTGGGAATTTAATGTTACTTTTAACGTTTACCCCACAGGCTTTTTATTGTATCTCATTTGTTTAAGTCATCGTGAAAAAAATCTATCCTATGAAACGTATATGATGTATGCATTTATGATAATGACATGACACACTGTATGACAACACAAGTCCAAATAATTCTGATTTTAGCATATACAAAATAGTGTAATAAGCCTATCAAATCAAATCAAATAGTATTTGTCACATGCGTCGAATACAACAGGTGTGAAATGCTTACTTACAAGCCCTTAACCAACAATGCAGTTTTAAGAATACCTACAAAAAAAGTAATTAAAGAGCAGCAGTAAAATAACAATAGCGAGGCTACAGTGGGGGAAAAAAGTATTTAGTCAGCCACCAATTGTGCAAGTTCTCCCACTTAAAAAGATGAGAGAGGCCTGTAATTTTCATCATAGGTACACGTCAACTATGACAGACAAATTGAGATTTTTTTTCTCCAGAAAATCACATTGTAGGATTTTTTATGAATTTATTTGCAAATTATGGTGGAAAATAAGTATTTGGTCACCTACAAACAAGCAAGATTTCTGGCTCTCATAGACCTGTAACTTATTCTTTAAGAGGCTCCTCTGTCCTCCACTCGTTACCTGTATTAATGGCACCTGTTTGAACTTGTTATCAGTATAAAAGACACCTGTCCACAACCTCAAACAGTCACACTCCAAACTCCACTATGGCCAAGACCAAAGAGCTGTCAAAGGACACCAGAAACAAAATTGTAGACCTGCACCAGGCTGGGAAGACTGAATCTGCAATAGGTAAGCAGCTTGGTTTGAAGAAATCAACTGTGGGAGCAATTATTAGGAAATGGAAGACATACAAGACCACTGATAATCTCCCTCGATCTGGGGCTCCACGCAAGATCTCACCCCGTGGGGTCAAAATTATCACAAGAACGGTGAGCAAAAATCCCAGAACCACACGGGGGGACCTAGTGAATGACCTGCAGAGAGCTGGGACCAAAGTAACAAAGCCTACCATCAGTAACACACTACGCCGCCAGGGACTCAAATCCTGCAGTGCCAGACGTGTCCCCCTGCTTAAGCCAGTACATGTCCAGGCCCGTCTGAAGTTTGCTAGAGTGCATTTGGATGATCCAGAAGAGGATTGGGAGAATGTCAGATGAAACCAAAATATAACTTTTTGGTAAAAACTCAACTCGTCGTGTTTGGAGGACAAAGAATGCTGAGTTGCATCCAAAGAACACCATACCTACTGTGGAGCATGGGGGTGGAAACATCATGCTTTGGGGCTGTTTTTCTGCAAAGGGACCAGGACGACTGATCCGTGTAAAGGAAAGAATGAATGGGGCCATGTATCGTGAGATTTTGAGTGAAAACCTCCTTCCATCAGCAAGGGCATTGAAGATGAAACGTGGCTGGGTCTTTCAGCATGACAATGATCCCAAACACAACGCCCGGGCAACGAAGGAGTGGCTTCGTAAGAAGCATTTCAAGGTCCTGGAGTGGCCTAGCCAGTCTCCAGATCTCAACCCCATAGAAAATCTTTGAAGGGAGTTGAAAGTCCGTGTTGCCCAGCGACAGCCCCAAAACATCACTGCTCTAGAGGAGCTCTGCATGGAGGAATGGGCCAAAATACCAGCAACAGTGTGTGAAATTCCTTGTGAAGACTTACAGAAAACTTTTGACCTGTGTCATTGCCAACAAAGGGTATATAACAAAGTATTGAGAAACTTTTGTTATTGACCAAATACTTATTTTCAATAAATTCATAAAGAATCCTACAATGTGATTTTCTGGAGAAAAAACATCTCATTTTGTCTATCATAGTTGACGTGTACCTATGATGAAAATGACAGGCCTCTCTCATCTTTTTAAGTGGGAGAACTTGCACAATTGGTGGCTGACTAAATACTTTTTTCCCCCACAGGGGGTACCGGTACCGAGTCAATGTGCGGGGGCACCGGTTAGCCTATGTGTTTATGCATAAGACCTTGACCTATGACACCACTCCTTTGACCTATGCCCCCTCCTATAGGCAACAGTAATGACCCGGAAGGAGATTGACCAGGAGTACCAGGGGCTGGTGAAGCGCTCTGAGCAACTGCTCTCCTCCATGCAGAAGAAGAAGCAGGAGGAGGAGGAGATGGAGAGGCTGCGGCGCATCGAGGAGGAGATGGCGGGGGAGAGGAAGAGAAGGGAGGAGGAGGACCAGCGACGCCAGAAGGAGGAGGACGACAGAAGGATGTAAGTGGAGGGGAAGGAAGGGTGAATAATGGTGGTATTGGGGGTACAAAAGAGAACATACATTTGTATTTATTTTTATTTAACCTTTATTTAACCAGGTAAGCCAGTTGAGAACAAGTTCTCATTTACAACTGCGACCTGGCCAATATAAAAACAACAACACAGAGTTACATATGGGGTAAACAAAACATAAAGTCAAAAATACAACAGAAAATATGGGCCGATAGTACTGGGGATTTAAGTAGTGGAGGGCTTCACTGTGTGCAGGCTTTTGGTTCTAGTGTGTTAGTGCTGGGCTGCAACAAAAGCCTGCACAGTGCACCAATAGCAGCCCTCCAGTATTGGAGTTGTCCACGCTTGCACTGTTTTGACATTTACATTTACATTTTAGTCATTTAGCAGACATGACCTCTCAATTTTAAAGAAACCCCCAACAGGATATGTCCGCAGTTGATGTTCAGAGATTGATCTTATACATGATTCATGGTTTGATCGTGTCATTGAGGACATCTGTGATTTTAAAGTTACATGGCGTTTTGCCATTTAAAGGCATTAACCACCTCTGTCCTCTGTCATCCTTTCCCCTCTCATTAGGAAATCAGAGATGGATCATAAGAGGAAGCAGGAAGAAGAGGAAAGGAAGCGGAGGGAGGAAGAGGAGAGGATAATGCAGGTTTGTGACCCCTCTTAAGTGCGATTGTTGTGGAAAAGGAGAGCTTTGTTACTCACCTTTCCCTTCCCACTAAAGAGACCCTAACACTGGTCCACTTCATCAGACATTGACCTTAATGCCTGATAGTCTCAAATGACTTTCTATGGAGCAGTAATGGATTGATTTCTTACCTGTCGTGTTTGTTGTACTAAGACCAGGGTCGTGGCATTGGTCAGATTCCCCAGTGGGCTGTCCCTGTCTTGTGATGGATCACTCCTGCTGAGTTTCTCCTTCCCCTTCCCTTCCCAGAACCACCCTTCCCCTCCCACTGTGCCTGAGTCCTCCGCTTCCCCTGATGATCATGCCCTCAATTACCGTTTGCAGTTACCTCCTTTTCTCCTCTACCGTTTGTTCCCAACCCCCTTCTGTCCTCGTCTGCCCTGTAAAATCATATGCATTTTCCTAATTTTCTCTTCCTCTGCCCTCTCTTTCCACCCTCATCCCCCTTTTCTTCTGTCCTGTATTACCATATGCTGTTCTCTCTTTTCTCTCCTCCTCTGCCCTCCATTCCCAGCCTCAGGCCCCCTTTTCCGCTCTCTTTTCTTCTCTATCCCCTCATTCCCACACCCTTCTTCAGTTCTCAACCCTCCATCTCCATCAATCCTCTTCCTTCCTCATCCATCACTCCTCTTTTTCTTCACGACTGCTCTCCTTTATCCCTGTCTCTGCCTCCCCCTATTATATTGGTAGTCTTTCATCTCTAATCCCCTACTTCCTGTCTAGACAGTCCTCTTTCCCTATTCTCATCTCTCTGTAGTCCCTTCTTCCCTCTTCCCCCGCCATCCCATTCTCTCCCTCTCAACACACCAGTCCTCCCTTTTTCCTATTCTCTCCCTGTTCTCCTATTCTCTCCTATGATGGTGTCTATCCTGGGGATCACCACCGTTCACTGTCTCTAATCTACCCGGGCTGGAAGCCCTGTCAAAGCTCTCCTGCTAGTCTAGGAGTGCTAGAAGTACTGATGCTAGCTCATTTCATGGACCGCAAGCAGAGGCACCCACGTCTGCCCTCCCAAGCTCACCCCAGCACAGCATTGATATTCATAGATCTCCACCCGTTGCTTTTAGCAGCCCGATTCACACGCACAAAGCTGAGTTTCCGAAGCGTCTCTCTAAAGTTCACTTTAGCCTTGGCTCATCCTACTTCAAAGCCTTAGAATAGTGGAAATGCGCTTTTTGGGGGGGTACCTGTGCTTTTTTCCCCTCAGAGTTTTGCTACTTTCACCTTTGCTACCTTGTTTATCGCTCTCCAACTTCCCCACAACGCCTAAAGAGTCCCTCTGACCTTCCTCTCTGATTTGGCTGCCGTGTTGTTGTTGCAGTTGTCTGCTGGGTGCATGTCTGCATCGTCTAGACGTGCAATCACAGGGACAGACTCAATACCAGCTGCTTAAACCAGGATAATATGTCTAATCAGGCCTCACCACACAGCAGGCCCTGTAATTGCCTAAGTTCTCCTGGCATTCAGGGCCAGTCGAGGCTCCATCGCTCCCCAGGACTGAGACAGTCTGACTCAGCCCCTGGTCCTGCTCTAATCTCAGACTCCAGAGGTGGCTGGCTTTCCCCCAAAAAAAGTGTGAGAAGAAGAACATCCATGTTGTGTTTACTTGCTGTGTTTACAGATTAAAAGTGGCGTGTTGTGTCAATCGTCATGAAATGTTGAATCTATGGCATGTAAAAAAATTAATAATAGAAATCTTACCAAGTTTCTGCTGATAGCTGTCTGAAAGTAACTGTCTAGTGATACAGATAGTCTATCCTTTCTCTGCTGTAGTGATGTTTCACATCAATAACAGCTTCCTTATATGAAGCCCTGTAAATGAACCACTCATGATGATGCAGTGGCGATGTTGAGAATAACGACGGTGCTGACGATGTGTGCGTTCAGGCGGAGATGGACATCCAGATAGCGTTGGAGCGAGAGGAGGACGCCCAGCGGTCGGCCATGTTGGAGCAGGAGAGGCGGGACAGAGAGCTGGCCATGAGGATCGCCCAGAGTGAAGCCGAACTCATCACCGACGAGGCCCAGATGGACCCCAGCCTGCGCAGGTACACACGGATACACAAAAGTGGACACACAAACACACACACACTGTGCTGTATATCTGTGTATTGTTATTCATATATTGTAGTGTCTCAATACACAAGCCCTAGAGGAGGTTTTTGTAGGACGTACCCAAGGTTGAGTACGTGGACAAGGTTGTTGTTTAACCCGGAACATGTTGTAATATGAGCTCTAGGAGCTTCTGCAGCAGGATTTGGTAAGGATTCAACAAGTCAAATAAAAAGAGCTGTTGTATTTCTTCTAGGTCCGAAAGGAGACCTGTCCACTGCATGCATGTGTAACCAATTTTTTTTCTCCTCTTGTTCTCCCCTCTCTCAGAAATGGGTCTTTCTCAGGTCTCTATCCAGACACAGTGAGATCCATGTAAGACATTAGCCATTAGCTTAGCCTCCTGCTTCCAGTAACCTAACATAAGCCATTAATCACACTCCCCCGCATGCTTTAATCTCAACCTCAAATCTTTCATCAACCTATATCCAGGATTGTACCAGCCCATGCAAAGCCATCATAAACAATACGCAAATTCTCTAACTCTTCACATTGGATCCAACCAAATAACACCACATTCCAGTCACGAATCAATCCGCCGTTGTGGTCCCGGCCCAGGGCATGAATCAACAATGCCAAGGTATACGCACGTCTGTTATTAGCCCATCGCAAACAGATGACTATTGCGTGACAAATCTAAATAGGAACATATCATAGAACATGCCGATCTGCTTTTGATCTGTTTCTGCTGGTTCTTCTGAGTTGCACCAGTCATATCCTCATCATCATATCCTCTGTTTGCAGTGCTGGTGGACTTCAAAACCTCAAGGCAATCACAATGTATGTTCTCTGGGGCTTTTTCATACATTGTATTTGTTCTTATCAAGCATATTGATATGGCAAACATTGATATTCCATTCCTATTGTATTACATCTGATAGCTTTGCACAACTATTTGATAAAACACACAAAGCCCTCTCTTTAAACTGATCTACTACTCAGTGGGGATGTACTGTAGAATTAACTCCTAACCAACGTTCGTGGTAGGACTAATTAGCTAACTAGTTAGGACTCACACTTAACCACTCCAGTAATGATATCAGTAGCTACTACCGTCAAACAAATAGATTAGTTTAGCCATGGTTAGTTACAGTTGGAACAGAGTAGTACTGTATTTGGGTGTACTGACACTTGGCCTACCTGTTCACTCATCAGATGCAATTACTTCTTCATGACTTGTCACTGAGGGATATAATTAAGCAGCTTCCAATTCTTACAGCTGTCAACACGCCACAAGTGTCACATCAGTGTGTGACTGTCACAACACAGGCTGACATCAACGTATCAGATGGCTACACACACAGTTCATAGTGGAAGCCACCCTGGTCTCCGTGACCAATGGGAAATACGATTATACTACTGATATATGGATGTGTGTGAATCAAGAGACATTTATGTGTTATTCTGTTATAGTAATTGATGTGTGCTGGTATTAATGTGTTTATAGGGAGGAAATGGCCCTGGAAATGTCACAACTTCTGGCTTGGTGGGTAATGGAGATAAATAGTTTGTTCCCGGATCAATGATCACCTGAATCACCCAAATCGATTAATCAAATGAATCATTTCCGGAAAAAATCCAAAATTAATTGTTAAAATTGTTTAAAATCCTAGTGAGCAAAGGGAAATGAAGAGATTTTACCAATGATGTTATCTTGTTGATCAGTGTATTGAATCTTGAAATTAGACGTGTTTGTGTGTGTGCCTGCATGCGTGTGTGTTTTGGGATTAAATCTGATTGTGTGCCAGATGTGGCATTGACCACAGCTATGGCACTTTGAACACGACTAACTTCCTTAAAGCTGGTTTAAGAAAGTTACTACAAACAACAAACACTGTTTTTTCCCCTCAGACATCATTGCACCTTTTTTTTTGCCATGACGGTAAAAAAGCTCCTCAGTTTGGCAACAAAAACAATAACTGTGGTGTTGCGGCCAGTGACGCTGTTTCTCCCTACTATGGATTCCATCTTTAAAGACACAACATCAATCAAAGTGTATGCCTCATCTATAATAAGCGCTCTTTGTAAGAGCTAGTTGGCCAACGCACCTTCGAGTCGCCGTGTCTACACTCAATCCCTGTTACCCCCGGAGCACTTTGAGGGGGTGACCTGGCAACCATCCAGCGCTCAGCCCCAAAGGTCAGGTGAGCTGTCACCACAAAACACAACAGTGTCTCGCTGACATTCTTCTGTCACTCCGGTATCTGCCCAGGCTGGCCCTCCTCCCACCGAAGATTGGATGAGCACCAGAAGACCCAAGGATTCCTCTACAGCGGACCAAAGCCTTGACCCTGCCACATAGACGCCCATACAGACCTGGAGGGCCACCTGTAAATAGGGGCCAAATCCTGCATGTCAGGTTATTGAGTTAGAGCTCTCAGAAGCATGCTGCTGGAGGGGTGGAAAGGGCTGCAGACTGTGCTTTCGTAAGCCCAGGAACACACTGACTAAGGTTAGGTGATGTGGGCACTAGGGAGTAGGTGATAGGGTGAAATGGGCACACTAAATGTCCACATGCATGTAGTCCAGCTCCCCTGCTGTCTGCTTCATCCACCTCGTAGTGGGAGTGTAATTGCCTGGGGGATGTCGGAGAACAGTGCCAAAGTCAGACACAGATTTCCCCTTTTTGCCCCACTTAGCACTTGATTGTTTTTCTGATTGTTACCAGTATTTTAGTCTTTGAAAATGACCACCAGATCACTATGGCGCGCCGATCCGTGCGGGGATTCCGAGACGTCCCACTGCTCGGACCTTTTGAAATGTTGAATTACAATTCAAATTGATTCCTCTCTTCTCTTGCGGGGAATGCAGGGGTCCACAGGTGCAGGCACTCAAAGCCGCCGGCGTGAGGAAGTACGACCTGAGCAAGTGGAAGTACGCCGAGCTGCGGGACGTCATCAACACCTCGTGCGGTAAGACTTTTCCCCAACCCCTCTCACCACTACCGCTACCAAGGCCTGAGGGGCTACTCTCAGCATGGGGCCCCATCTATTCACTACACTACACTCTGAAAAAGCCCAGGGATACCTGGGCAATGTGACGAGCTCTCAGGGAGATTCATGATCCGGCTCTGTGCACCTCCATCACTCACGCCATCATTAATTCAGCCCCACTGTTAATAATTTAAAAACTGGCCGGTAACGCAACCTCTTCAAAAGTGTGGCAAAGGGGTTTTCGCCCTGCTCTAGACTTTCCTGCCTAGGCGTGATTTCCCCTATAATTTTCACGTAAAGCTAAAGTGGGAGGTAATTTCGAGGAGATTGCAACTGGGCGAAATTGACAGGGGAATTCTATTTGTTTGAGGGTGTAATATTTAAGAGCCGACAGGAGAGTGTACATGCAGCTGCTACGTTGATGAAGGTACAGCCTTGTGGCAGAGGGGGAGATTATTACCATTAAGGTGAATTACAGTGTTTTGCCCTCTGTACCCGTTTCAATAAAAAAACATGGAGGAAAGTCTTACCGCCTCATTCTGAATCGACATGTATGAATAGGCCAGCTGTCAGTTGGGGAGTGCTTCGTACCAACACTTCCCCTAAGAGCATGCTGTGTCTCAACCGATAGTGAGCATAACACAAACACCTCAGATGATGGAAAATAGGGTCTAAGCTACAATATATATGCGAGAAATGGACATTAAAGGACCAGTTCTACCATTGGCAAATACACTACATGAACAAAAGTATGTGGACACCTGCTCGTCGAACATCTCATTCATAAATCATGGGCATTAATATGGAGTTGGTCTCCCCTTTGCTGCTATAACAGCCTCCACTCTTCTGGGAAGGCTTTCCACTAGATGTTGGAACATTGCTCTGGGGACTTGCTTCCATTCAACCACAAGAGCATTACTGATGTCAGGCACTGATGTTGGGCGATTAGTCCTGGCTCGTAGTCGGCGTTCCAATTCATCCCAAAGGTGTTCGATTGGGGTTGAGGTCAGGGCTCTGTGCAGGCAAGTCAAGTTCTTCCACACCGATCTCGACAAACCATTTCTGTATGGACCTCGCTTTGTGCACAGGGACATTGTCATGCTGAAACAGGAAAGGGCCTTCCCCAAACTGTTGCCACAAAGTTGGAAGCACAGAATCGTCTAGAATGTAGCGTTAAGATTTCCCTTCACTGGAACTAAGAGGCCTAGCCCAAACAATGAAAAACAGCTCCAAACCACCCCCACCAAACTTTACAGTTGGCACTATGCATTCAGGCAGGTAGCGTTCTCCTGGCATCTGCCACACCCAGATTCTTCCATCGGAATGCCAGATGGTGAAGCGTGATGCATCACTCCAGAGAACGCATTTTTCACTGCTCCAAAGTCCAATGGTGGAGAGCTTTACACCACTCCAGCCGACACTTGGCATTGCGCATGGTGAGCTTAGGCTGCTCGGCCATGGAAACCCATTTCATGAAGCTCCCGACGAACAGTTCTTGTGCTGACATTGCTTCCAGAGGCAGTTTGGAACTCGGTAGCTACGCGCTTCAGCACTCTGCGGTCCCATTCTGTGAGCTTGTGTAGCCTACCACTTCACGGCTGAGCCGTTGTTGCTCCTAGATGTTTCCACTTCACAATAACAGCACTTACAGTTGACCGGGGCAGCTCTAGCAATGCAGAAATTTGACGAACTGTGTTGTTGGAAAGGTGACATCCTATGACGGTGCCACATTGAAAGTCACTGGGTTCTTCAGTAAGGCCATTCTACTGCCAGTGTTTGTCTATGGAGATTGCATGGTGGTGTGCTCAATTTTATACACCTGTCAGCAACGGGTGTGGCTGAAATAGCCGAAACCACTAATTTGAAGGGGTGTCCATGTACTTTTGCATATATAGTGTTTAGTTCAAATCAAAAGGGAGCAGTCAAAAAGTGATTGAAATTAAGTGGAATGACCCTAATGCATTAATTGTGGTGGAAATGAAATTCGGCTTGGTTGTGACGACTTTGTTACATTCTCCATGGCCCTTTTTGAATTATTTACACCCATCCTGTTGCTACTTTCTCTCCTTGCTGTGAGGAAAACTGAATTGCGACCTATTTTCACAACCCCCAATTTTAATGTGTTCATCGTTTCCTGAAAGGTGAAGATTAGAACTTGAGTATTATCTTGAATAGTTGGCGATTCTACGACAGTGGGAGCAGAAAATATTTTGGGTATCTCAGATTTTGTCAATTCTCACATAGAAACTTCATTGGGAGGAAGGATGTTTGACATGCTTTTGTATCACACATTTTTTGGGGGGAAATCATGATGAAAGTGGCCATTTTAGGCCCTTTTAGACCTATACATGCCAACTGTAAGACCGTGAACCGTACATGATACAGACAACATCTTGGTGTCATTATACTCCTAATAGTGTGCGTTCAAATATGGAGTGTCTAGATTCTGAAATAAAATATTTCAAGTTAATTTATTCAACATACAAATATTAATATGAATATCTCAAAACTACCCTTTTTATTTTGCTTATTTTTAGACAAATTGTTTGGAACAATATACTCTTCAAACACGTCAAATTTCCAGAGTGGGCTCTTTGGTACTTTTAATGATATTACCCATTTTCTACATACAAATGGACATTATAGGTCAATTAACCAATCACAGCCCTCCTTTAGGATTGCACATTCAGCAAGTCACCAGCAGAGGGAGTTCCCTTTTAATCCATTTACCATTCACTGTGTTGGTGGTGTTCATAAAATGTATCATAACTTCAGAATTAGCAGAGAGCTCACTCTGGAAATGTTATGTACTTCCAAAAAGTATAGTGGTGGAAAAAGTACTGAATGGTCATACTTGAGTAAAAGTAAAAACGCCTTAATAGAAAATGACTGAAGTAAAAGTGAAAGTCACCCAGTTAAAGTCTAAAAGTATCTGGTTTAAAATGTACTTAAGTGGTGGAAAAAGTACTTAATTGTCATACTTGAGTAAGAGTAAAAGTAAATGCTATACATCAAATATATTATATTAAGCAAACCAGACAATTATTTTTGTTTTATTTACGGACGGACAGGGTCACACTCCCACACTGACATCATTGATAGGTGCGTGAATTGGACCATATTGCTGTCCTTCCAGATCATTCGAAATGAAATTACTTTTGTGTGTCAGGGAAAATGTATATGAGTAAAAAGTACATATTTTCTTTAGGAATGTAGTAAAGTACAGATAACCCCCAAAGTTACTTAAGTAGTACTTCAAAGCAGTGGTATAAAGTACTTCAAAGTACTTTACACCACTGCTTAAAATGAATACATTTAAAAGGGTTGTTTATTTCAGAATCTAAATATACTCCATATATTAAAGCACACTACAAGGATTATAATGACACCAAGATGTTGTCTGTATCATGTACGGTTCACCGACCTGAAGGTCTTACAGGATGTATAGGTCTAAAAAGGAAATGGCCAATTTCATGATTTTCTCAAAAATGGTTTGTGATACAAATGTAAGAATTTCCAGAACAATTTCAGATACCAAAAATATTTTTGGCTCCTGCTGGCATGGAATCGCCCTAATACATGAGAAATTCCCATGATTTATGAATCTGTTCGGCCCGAACAGCTAGCGCGACAGCTAAAATGAATTTATAAAAATACGATTTCAGCTAATAGGGAGAAGTATCTAACAAAATTACATTATGGCATTCACTAATCATAAAACGATTTACATATAATAGAAATGTGGCTACATTTGGACAAATATTTGTTATTCTCATTCACTGTGGTTAAGTTCTGTTGATGTCATCCCTGTGTAGATATTGAGCTGCTGGCGGCATGCAGGGAGGAGTTCCATCGCCGTCTGAAGGTGTACCACGCCTGGAAGTCCAAGAACAAGAAACGCGACACAGCCATGGAGCAGAGGGCCCCCAAATCTATCACTGACTACGGTGAGTGAGATACCCCATCCTGGGATGTTGTGCTACTGTAGGCTACCCTCCTCAACCCAGGATTGTGTTCCCGACATTAACACGTTCTGTCTTAACCCCGCTATTACCATTTCTGTGTCCATTGCAGACATGTTTTCAACAGTAGCATCCTTTTTGTCATCTCTTTCATCGGTTTTCTTTCTGTGACCATCTTTGACCTTGAAAGTTATGGTACAGCTAACTGCCAAAATAAAGGAAACGCCAACATAAAATGTCTTAATTGGACGTTGGGCCACCACGAGCCAGAAAAGCTTCAATGTACCTTGACATTGAAGTGTCTGGAACTCTATTGGAGGCATGGGACACCATTCTTCCACAAGAAATTCCATAATGTGGTGTTTTGTTGATGGTGATGGAAACGCTGTCTCAGGCACCGCTCCAGAATCTCCCATAAGTGTTCAACTGGGTTTGAGATCTGGTGACTGAGACGGCCATGGCATATGGTTTACATCATTTTCATCCTCATCAAATGATTCATTGACCATTCGTGCTCTACGGATGGGGGCATTGTCATCCTATGTGGGCATATCCATGGTAGCCAAAATAATGGTCTGCCCAGCATTTTTATACATGACCCTAAGCATGATGGGATGTTAATTGCTTAATTTACTCAGGAACCACACCTGTGTGGTAGCACCTGCTTTCAATATACTTTGTATCCCTCATTTACTCAAGTCTTTACATTATTTTGGCAGTTACTTGTACATCCACACAGAGTACCTCATTTGCTAGCACAGTACTCATTTTCCCACTTGTCAATGTACTTTCCCAAAGGGAAAAAGTCTCACAATTGCATTTATGTGAGATTAACATGGAGGGTAAAAACCCAAGAAGAAGCAGCAATGCTTCAGTGAGCCCTTCACAGCTTCACTGTCTCTTCTCCTGATGATGATGGCGGAGGGAGATGAATGCCCACTTCATAAATAGCCCGCCTGTTCTTCCTGACATTCAATTAGTGTTCTTAAAAGCCAGGCCCCAGAACTTAGCTCCCATCTGCGTCAAAAGTATTTGTTCCAATTATACTCAGCTGCCACGACGCCTCATCAGGTTTAGCTGTGCGCTACCATGACCGCTCGCTCTATCCAGCCAAGCATGATATATTCAACTCAGACCCAGACAACAGGGGCGGCTGGAAATCATGTTTAAAGTAAATATTATTTAGTTACATGAAAGCTATCCAGTCTCCTTTGTTCGCCCTTCTTTTCCATAGATTTTCATTCCTAAGAACAGATTTTGTTGCTTTCACTGAATTTTCATCTCTTTTGATGTGAAAGCTTCTAGAAGGCATGTTGAACCCATTTTATTTGCCTTTTGTTTGGCTGCAGTTCTCTCTTCCTTCGCTAATGGAAGCAGGTCTTGGCAAGTCTGCCATATAAGAGGGGAGAAAGCAGCTTACCTGGCTTTTCACCCATAGCATTGTTTGTGTATTTTATGCCATCTTTGTTGTCTCATATTTTCAGTTTCATGTTTTTGCTTCCTTCCACCACCCTATGATTCAATCATTCAACTTAGTCATGTTCTAACATTTTGCAGATAAATTGCTTCAAACACTAATGGACTCTACTGTGTAAATACAGGATTGCTCCTCAAAAAAAATTACAAAGATTTCCACATGTATTTGCCCCAGTAATCACACAATGTCATAATAAATCAGTATTGTGGCAGTAACAAGGACATAAAACCCGCCACACACAGCCCAACAGAACCCGGCTCCAGCCGTGGCCGCCCAGCAGCAGGAGATAACCATGAACCGCCAGCAGCGCTACTTCCGCATCCCCTTCATCCGTCCCGCTGACCAATATAAAGACCCCCAGAACAAGAAGAAGGGTTGGTGGTACGCCCACTTTGATGGGCCCTGGATCGCCAGGCAGATGGAGCTACACCCAGACAAGCAGCCCATCCTACTGGTGGCAGGTGGGTCCCTCGAGCTAGATCAGCTTCATATGTTCTTTATATGTGCATTGATGTGTTTGTAAAATGAAACTCTGGGCTCTATGTCATAGAGCATGTTATGATTGTGCCAGGTAGCTGGTTTTGTGCACGTGTGAATGTGGTTATCCTATCCTAAAAAAGAATCCCTATTCAATCATATATTATCCTTTCCTGTGTGTGTATTAAATCCTTAATCCTTATTAAATCCTGTTTTTGACTGTCAGCGTCTCTCCCCTCCTTTCTCTCTCTCTTCCCCCATCCCCCCCCCCCCCCCCCCATCCTTAGGGAAAGATGACATGGAGATGTGTGAGCTAAGCCTGGAGGAGACAGGCCTGACCCGGAAGAGGGGGGCTGAGATCCTGCCTCGGCAGTTTGAGGAGATCTGGGAACGCTGCGACGGGATCACGTACCTGCGAAACGCCATCGAAAGCAGGCAGGCCAGGCCCACGTACGCCACAGCCATGCTGCAGAACCTCTTCCAGTGAACCAGAGGAATGCTCAAAAGGAATGCAGTAAAGAAAGGGAAGAAAGCAGAAGCACTCCCTATTATAGCAGTCTTTGAGGCTAACGGCTATCTCACTGAGGGCATTTCAACATTTTAATTCGATTTTTGTTGATTTTTAAAAGTTGATTTCTGTCATTTCTTTGTTTTGTTTCTTTGTTAATTTGCTGTGAAAAGACATACTAATTTACGTCTCGTCCTCATGAAATGTCCTACACTTGAATGCAATTTTTACTACGAGGCCTTAAATCTATTTTATTTGGTATTAATTAGATAAGTTTCAGATCTGCACTTCCTCAAGACAGTCTTAATTGTATATTCATGTTTAGTTGTTAAATGAAATCTAAGCACTGCTGGAACTGTTGGTAATGATTGAAGAAATTATGTTACAAGTATTTGGCTTTATGACTCTTGAGCACTCTAGGAATAATTGATTGTGTCGACACATTTCAGCATGTGATTAGATATGTTAGGGTTTATATTTTCAGTATAATGCAGCTGCAATGTTCCACTTCCGATTTAGAGAAGGTTGTCTGTCTATAGGGCTGGTATTGCCATAATGCTGGGGCAGGTTGTATCCTTGATGTTGAATTTATTCTTGGTTCTGTTTGAAGAAAGCTTACTTTACTTCCCTTTGTATTTCCATGACAATGAAAGTGCACCAGCTCACATCTTTTAACAACGGACATTGCAAGACTTTTGCAATGATAGATGATTCATAGGAAGGCATATGACATGATATATTTTTGGATTGATTGATCAAAACTAAGATCTTGTTTACGACTTTGTCTAAGACTGATTTTTGCATGTCATTGTTAACCATAGATTAATTGGAGCACAAACCTCTGCGGTGTAGTAAAAATATACACTTTCCGAATGTCTTCTATTTTTGAATATGGCGTAGTGAAATAATTCTGAGTCACTGTATTTGTATTCCATAGTGACAGATAATATTTTCATCTAAGAACTCCTTTTTAAAAGAAATTGTAGAATTTGTAGGCATTTGTAAATTTATTTTCATAGAGGGAACTCACAAGCGCTTTCTGTTCACCACTAATATAAAACACTAAAAACCTAATTATCCAACCATTTTAATAACATTGTTGAAAGTTTAAGGTTTCTAGGTGTGATTTGTCTTTCAGGCTTTCAATCTAGATTGTGTGACTTCTTTTGCCGATCCTTGATGGTCTGATATGAGTAATTAATCTCATTGTGGACCCCCAGTTATAATTTATTAACAATTTCATAATGAGTATTTTCTGTATAGTAAAATAATAATGTTTGTATTACACATTCCTCAGTGTAATCTGTTTAGCTGTTTTGCCATTTCAGATTCAACTTCAATTGTATGCTGAGTATTGCACTGCAATATAGGGAATAAATGCATTCAACCTTTTATCATTGTGTAGACTGTAGTTAATAGCAAGACTTGGCCATTAAGTCAGGTCTTCTATTAGTACCTCCCTAAATGGCTTAGACTAGCTTATTGATTACAGTATCTAACAAGATGACTGATTAAGAATTAATGATTAATTCATTGTGGTCCTCATGTTTTATTACTGATCCAAATGAAGCCATGATGGGCAGTAAACATTTTGTAAATCATAATCATCAGAAAATAACAGAATCCGATGATGGAAAAACTATTGAAATGCATTGTGATTGTTAGCGATTCAATTAAATAACCAATTGACCCCCCAAAAATCTTTGTAGGAAAATACTTTATTTATCAAATGTAAAGTGTAAAAAAAAGAATGTTACACATCCTCCAAGTGTGTTTTGATCCTGTACTCAAAAGTGGTTGGTGGGATTTTATTGACCAGTAGTATAGGACTGACTTTTTCTTCACACAAATGTATTGCTACATTTTTCACCTACACAACACTAGGCTATAATCATATACAAGAGTATTGCTTCAAAACAACACGACCAGAGTCAAAAGATCACATTCATTTTCTTTTTTGGGACGCTGAACAGAAGTTAGAATAACATTAAAACAACAATCTCATCTACGGTCATGATACCACCATGAGTATCAATGTGTAAATAAATACCTCATTGTGAGGAAAGAAAACAACCTTTTGTGAAGGATATACAGTATCTGAAAAACATTCCTAGCCGTCAATATATAAATAGATGGGTACACCTTAACACAACCCGCTAGTACAGCATTTAATATCCACACAGTAGCTGTCTGAAATTATGCATCCTATCCTAGGTACATTTCTCCATGTAATTTATGCAGTAATTCCAGTAATGGAGGAGTCCACCACTGCCATGACATGAATTTCTAAGAGATTAGATATTTAAAATATACAGCTCAAGTTCAAGGCAACAAAGACTTATGTTGCTTTTAAAGACTGTGGACACTGGCAAGAGATGAGCCATCAAAGAACAGTTTCCTCAAAGCATTCGTTATCTGAAGCCCTTAACAGGCAACAAGTTCGGTATTCATTTGGTGGTCGCCACATCTGAAAAGGGGACAAGTGACAAAGGGTATACCAAATGTTATTCCATGTCACAAATTGCATATAACATTTGTAATCATATTGACAGGTGAAATATTATATCCAAAATAGTGGTAAATTATATAAATATACCTCAATTAACATAGTTAAATGATACATACTTAACAGTATGTCATTATTAACACCCACTTAAAATAAATTAATATGTGCTAAATGTCAAGGTGAAATGATCTCTTAATGACTTTCAAACAGCTGATTATAGCATGCCAGACTAATTCCATATAATTTACATATATTACAAACAATACATGTTATGATTGTTTTTAGGTTATCTTGCACACAATCAATTGGTGAATAATTCTGCTTTAGCATGCAGTAATATTGCAATTATCATTCACATCCATTTTTAAAGAATTCCTACTGATAAGTAATTATGCTCATGTTAGATGGAAAATGTCACTACCACTGATTTACTTTTACATTTTCTGAATCATACTTTTTGATTTGAAGAAATACAATTGAAAGCTCAAAAAGATGATTTGGTTAAGTAATAAATCAGAATCAACCTTATCAATTAACGTCTTACCTTCTAATGCTTTTAAATGCTTTTCCTAGAAAGTATTTAAAGTAATATAAAAACATATTTGCACATGGTACAATATGACTCATTCAAACTGATCCCAAGATCCGATTTTTGGCCTTACCTTGTTGTGTGGTATACAGGGATGTAAATCTACCATTTCAGAGACTAGCTTGTCGTGTCTGGTTGTGTAGAGCTGTCTGGGGATCTGTGAAAAAGCATCAGAGAAACACAGCTTTACACTGTTCATAGTTCACAAGGAACTCACTAGAAGCGTTTTAAAAGGGTGAGCAAAGGCAAGCGTTTGGCACTAAATATCATTTCAAGGGGAGACATCATTGAGGGTGGAGGTTGGGTAATATTTTTCTGCAATGACGATAAATGGGTATTACAGCGGACATCTACAAGTGCCTGGCTCTATTACTAAAGGTAGGCTAGTGTTTAAGATTGTTGGGCCAGTAACCGAAAGGTCGCTGGTTTGAATCCCCAGCAAGGTAGGAAAATCTACCATTCTGCCCTTGAGCAAGGCAGTTAACCCCCAACAACTGCTCCCCAGGCGCCGATGACGTGGACGTCGATTAAGGCAGCCCCCCGCACCTCTTTGATTCAGAGCGTTTGGGTTAAATGCGAAAGACACATTTAGGTTGAATGCATTCAGTTGTGCAACTGACTAGGTATCCCCTTTTGCCTTCCCAGCATGGTTTGACAGAGTATTCTCTTGACACTGCACCACATTTACTGTAATAGTCTTTAAATGTCTGACCTCAAATTAACCAGGGCTTGGATGTTTTGGGGTACATTGATCATGACTCACCACAAAGGATCTCTAGTAAAATCACTGCAATACAATACATATATAATCTGGCCAAAATATGTGCAAGGGAATTGAAATGCATGCACATGACTTGGATATTTTAAGAATTGATATATAGACAGACATTTAATCTCTTAACAGTATCATTGAGGGTTCAACCAATTTCATGGATACTGTATCATGAGGATATTATTGCATGGGTTTAGTGTATGAAAGTATATTACACTGTACAATGAAGCAGAAAAGTGTTCCTTCAGAGTTTATTGAAGGAACTAACCACCCCAAATGTTTGTTGATACCATAAGAGAGTGGAAAAGAGCAGATCATGCAAAATAAGAGGAAAGAGCTTCTTTGCCATTCAAAATAGAGATTTAGTGAAGGAAAGTACTTAGTGCTTTATCTGGGCTGCATCTTGAAAAAATAAAACGTATCACATAACAAATACTCGGAGCGCACGCATCGTGTTTCAACCTATTGGTCTTCCTCAGGCAATACGTTGCGTGCTCACTGAGTGTTTTCTTAAGCCTTTCTTATGTAATCTGTTCTGGAGATTTTTAAGATATACCACAGAAACATTTTTGTTGTGAGTACTTTACTTCATTAAAGCTTTACTTTAAATCACAAAGATTTAAGCTCTCCTTTTTTCTAATTTTGGCAACCCTATTCTTACTATAGACTACTAAGTTGTTTCCTGGGACTCAATTATCATTTGTCATAAGCAGAATTAGTAGATATTAGGTGATTGCTTAAGGTTTGTATTAGTTTGTTTAGAACATGGGGCCAATTGAGCTATAGAGATTAACCTTAATACTTAGATGTATATTTTCAATTGAGCAAAAAGCTTCTTGCTCTGTTTGGGAAGAACCAGCACCACTTCTCCAGGCTGGTGGTGTACTTATGCTGGATACTTGAGTCAAGACACCATCGTCATTTTCAAAAACAGGATTCACTCTCAATGTGTTCTCAAAGTCATAGGGAACAAGCGTATGTCTATAATATAAAGCAGATAGGACTGGAATAACCAAGCTGTAAAACAACAACTGGTAGAGCTATTGGCTCTAAAACAAATAAAAAGGTTTAAAAAACCTGCTTACACCAAATTCATGGTCTTTCGGGTCCCGATACATTTCTTGTTTATGAAAACCAAGATGCCTATGATGGCACAAACCAAGGTGAGGCTTCCCACCAGGCAGGCTATGAAAATGGTTGGGTCTACAGGCAGCAACACGAGCTCATTGCAGCGCACTCCGTGGTAGTGCCAGTATTTCCCTACAGGACATCTAAATGTTAAAGAGAAAACAGGATTAGAGTCAACTCTATCAGCTACAGTAAAAAAGGTATATCTCAATACATCAAAATGCCTCAAGGCACATGCTGGAGCACTGTTGAATACGAAGGGAATCTTGCAGAGTTGACAGATGTTTTTTACTGCTAGACAACATCAAGAAGAGCTGATATGTTGCCAGTGTTTCAGTTTATAGATGGTGAGGACCACAGGAGGTTGGTGGCACCTTAATTGGGGAGGACGGGTTGGTGGTAATGGCTGGAGTGGTGTGAGTGGAATGATATCAAATACATCAAACATGGTTTGATGCCATTCCATTTGCTCCATTCCAGCCATTATTATGAGCCGTCCTCCCCTCAGCAGCCTCCACTGGTGAGACCATAGCTATCTCTGTTTGCTTGATCAGTTAGCTCGGTGGTACCTGCAGGTGGCTCCATGGCCCTGGATGATTTCACAAAGGCCCCCGTTGAAGCAGTAGTCTGGATCTAGGTTACAAATACTCTGGCAGGGCAGGCCATCCATAGTGCTGTAGCCAGGATCACACAAACACTCAGCCTCCTCAGTCCAACTGTTTACCATACATTGGGAAAACTCATTGCAGGCCAAGAACTTGCAGGGATTTGCTTGGTCCGCTGAAACGAGTAAGAAGATAATTCATTTGCATTAATGAAATGCTGTCCACCTGTCTCTCCCTGTTTTGTTCCTTCATTGTCCTCACATGCAAAGGACAAACTAGAGGACACGTTGATTGATGTGAATGAAGGCGTCTGCTTTAAATAAGGTGCAGGTGATTAGGGTTCAGCCAGAGAAGTGCTTGTGAGGCTTTAGTAGAGAATAATTATTTTTCACATGATTCGCAGAGGACAAAGCTGTGGCATGCATTCTTTTGACCTTTCCAGATTGAACATTCTAGAAGTACAGTATAATTAAGACTTGGGACCTCTAGTATGCCATAACTTAGATAGGAGCTGATTCTGTCTATGATATCCCCCATCACATAGGACAGTGAGAACTTTCAATATAGAGATATCTTACCAGGTTCTATGTCCAGGTAGCGACTGTCAATCTCAATGTCTAGTCGTTTAGATGCAGTGTTGCAGAAGTCTTCGAGCACACAGTGCACAGCCTTTGTCATGTTATGTGGCACATCTTTGTCTAATTTCATCTTGCTGTTCACCACAACACTGCCATTCCTGAAGTTGAGGATTTCCAATTGCTTAAATCCTGTCAAATTAGATTGCAGATATGGGAGAAGCTGGAAAAGAGGGGAGAGAACACATGTAATATGTATAGAGCACAAATTTGACGCTTCAGCAATTTTCTTTTAGTCACATTTGTCATTCCACTCTCTCATGGTAATTTGACAACTAATTCTGTTGACATTCAAAACCATCTGATTTGATTCGCTTTTAGTTTCAAGGAGGAAATGGTGTTGGTTGGCTAGTTGGGAAATCAAATCAAATTATGGCAAATATACCATTTAGATTAGAAATTATTATGGTAATTTGGGACACAGTAAGACAATTTGGCATACAGTATTTTACATGAAAGTCATCTTAAAATCATCACCAATCTCCATGAAGGACTAGTGAATTAATCTGGCTCCTGGGAGGATAAAAGTTCAATTTAATGTTTTATATGTTTCATGTTTTACCTCTCATTCCACAGTTTGGAGTCATTTAAACAAACTGCACATCTGTTTCCTCCCAGGACCAAGATTGGGAGAGCCATATCTGGAACATGTCAAACGCTCTAGAGGACCACAGTTACAGTCTGTCAGTTTTACATCTGAACAGTTGTATTCAGGTCAGGGTGTTTACTGATGAAATGCATGTATACATAATCTCATTCATCACAATAATACAATTGTGCAAATTAAAAGAAGGAAATTATCAACATTACTAAATGTAGCACACAACCAAGCATTAGTTAGCAACTATTATGTAAGGTGTTATGGACAGTCAAGCAGATAAAAGGTTCAAATATAAGAAACCGAGAATGCAAGGCCATTGAGACCTGTACGACAACAAATCTGTCTATGAAAATCTGTCCAAGAAACAAATACAAAAACCAACAATACAACAGTTCAAATCCACCAGAACAATCTCAAATCTGTCAAGCTCAATCTTCTAGCCATATCTATGGCATCTCCATTTATCATCCATTTTTAAAACGTGATTGGCAATTTCAAAAATGGCCCTGACTCCCAGCGAGAATAACAGACTGAGCATTGCTATTATAGCTGCTCTCTCCGTCTTCAAGAGTAAGGTACCTGCATTTAGACAAGTAACTGCAGGAAAACCAATTACTGTGGAGAGACTACGGTGCCTTAACTCAGCTGTTCCATGCCTGTATACAAAGAGATAAGAGGCATTAAGGAGCTCTATCTGATCTGGTTACTCCACTTATCACTGGCAGGCAGAGGGCCAGGTCACTATGGGCCTCATACAACCTCATTTACCACACAAACAGAGCACCATGCTCCACACACAGTAAACGTCCTTCACCGCACAAACAGAGCACCATGCTCCATACTATATTAAGGCCTCCAGCAAATGGACTGCTAGACAGGTGCATTTCTCAGATAAATCCATTAGTCTAAACATTTCAAATCAACAAGTTAGCAATCCTCGCTGTGCTGTGGTCTTAACTCTCTGCTTTGCGTAAGCTAGGTCCGTGTAGCAATAACCTTGCTATGTTTGTCTGTCATAGTTGACGTGTACCTGTGATGAAAATTACAGGCCTCTCTCATCTTTTTAAGTGGGAGAACTTGCACAATTGGTGGCTGACTAAATACTTTTTTCCCCCACTTTTATTTTATTTTATTTATTTCACCTTTATTTAACCAGGTAAACCAGTTGAGAACAAGTTCTCATTTACAACTGCGACCTGGCCAAGATAAAGCAAAGCAGTGCGATAAAAACAACAACACAGAGTTACATATGGGGTAAAAAAAAACAAAGTCAAAAAAATACAACAGAAATACATATATATACAGTGTGTGCAAATTTAGCAAGTTATGGAGGTAAGGCAATAAAATAGGCTATAGTGCAAAATAATTACAATTAGTATTAACACTGGAATGATAGATGTGCAAGAGATGATGTGCAAATAGAGATACTGGGGTACAAATGAGCAAAATAAATAACAATATAGGGATGAGGTAGTTGGGCGGGCTAATTTCAGATGGGCTGTGTACAGGTGCAGTGATCGGTAAGGTGCTCTGACAACTGATGCTTAAAGTTAGTGAGGGAGATAAGTGTCTCCAGCTTCAGAGATTTTTGCAATTTGTTCCAGTCATTGGCAGCAGAGAACTGGAAGGAATTGCGGCCAAAGGAGGTGTTGGCTTTGGCGATGACCAGTAATATATACCCGCTGGAGCGCAGACTACGGGTGGGTGTTGCTATGGTGACCAATGAGCTAAGATAAGGCGGGGATTTGCCTAGCAGTGATTTATAGATGGCCTGGAGCCAGTGGGTTTGGCGACTAATATATAGTGAGGACCAGCCAACAAGAGCGTACAGGTCACAGTGGTGGGTATTATATGGGGCTTTGGAGACAAAACGGATGGCACTGTGATAGACTACATCCAATTTGCTGAGTAGAGTGTTGGAGGCTATTTTGTAAATGACATCGCCGAAGTCAAGGATCGGTAGGATAGTCAGTTTTACGAGGGCATGTTTGGCAGCATGAGTGAAGGAGGCTTTGTTGCGAAATAGGAAATCGATTCTAGATTTAACTTTGGATTGGAGATTCTTAATGTGAGTCTGGAAGGAGAGTTTACAGTCTAACCAGACACCTAGATATTTGTAGTTGTCCACATACTCTAGGTCAGACCCGTCGAGTGTAGTGATTCTAGTCGGGTGGGCGGGTGCAAGCAGCGTTCGGTTGAAGAGCATGCATTTAGTTTTACTAGTGTTTAAGAGCAGTTGGAGGCTACTGAAGGAGTGTTGTATGGAATTGAAGCTCGTTTGGAGGTTTGTTAACACAGTGTCCAATGAAGGGCCAGATGTATACAAAATGGTGTCGTCTGCGTAGAGGTGGATCTGAGAGTCACCAGCAGCAAGAGCGACGTCATTGATATACACAGAGAAAAGAGTCGGCCCAAGAATTGAACCCTGTGGCACCCCCATAGAGACTGCCATAGGTCCAGACAACATGCCCTCCGATTTGACACATTGAACTCTATCTGAGAAGTAGTTGGTGAGCCAGGCGAGGCAGTCATTTGAGAAACCAAGGCTATTTAGTCTGCCAATAAGAATGCGGTGGTTGACAGAGTCGAAAGCCTTGGCCAGGTCAATGAAAACGGCTGCACAGTACTGTCTATTATCGATCGCGGTTATAATATCGTTTAGGACCTTGAGCGTGGCTGAAGTGCACCCATGACCAGCTCAGAAACCGGATTGCATAGCGGAGAAGGTACTGTGGGATTCGAAATGGTCGGTGATCTGTTTGTTGACTTGGCTTTCAAAAACTTTTGAAAGGCAGGGCAGGATGGATATGGGTCTGTAACAGTTTGGATCTAGAGTGTCACCCCCTTTGAAGAGGGGGATGACCGCGGCAGCTTTCCAATCTCTGGGGATCTCAGACGTTACGAAAGAGAGGTTGAACAGGCTAGTAATAGGGGTTGCGACAATTTCGGCGGCTAGTTTTTAGAAAGAAAGGGTCCAGATTGTCTAGCCCAGGTGATTTGTAGGGGTCCAGATTTTGCAGCTCTTTTAGAACATCAGCTGTCTGGATTTGTGTGAAGGAGAAGCGGGGGGGCCATGGGCAAGTTGCAGAGGAGGGTGCAGAGCTGGTGGCCGGGGTAGTGGTAGCCAGGTGGAAAGCATGGCCAGCCGTAGCAAAATGCTTGTTGAAATTCTCGATTATTGTAGATTTATCGGTGGTGATAGTGTTTCCTAGCCTCAGTGCAGTGGGCAGCTGGGAGGAAGTGCTCTTATTTTCCATGGACTTTACAGTGTCCCAAAACTTTTTGGAGTTAGTGCTACAGGATGCAAATTTCTGTTTGAAAAAGTTAGCCTTTGCTTTCCTAACTGCTTGTGTATATTGGTTCCTAACTTCCCTGAAAAGTTGTATATCGCGGGGGCTATTTGATGCTAATGCAGTACGCCACAGGATGTTTTTGTGCTGGTCAAGGGCAGTCAATTCTGAGGAGAACCAGGGGCTATATCTTTTCTTAGTTCTGTATTTTTTGAATGGGGCATGTCTATTTAAGATTGAGAGGAAATTACTTTTATAGAACAACCAGGCATCCTCTACTGATGGAATGAGATCTATATCCATCCAGGATACCTGGGCCAGGTCAATTAGGAAGGCCTGCTCGCTGAAGTGTTTTTGGGAGCATTTGACAGTGAGATATTCCATAAAAAATTAGCAGTTTCCAGCTACAATAGCCATTTACAACATTAACAATGTCTACACTGTATTTCTGATCAATTTGATGTTATTTTAATGGACAAAAAAATAGCTTTTCTTTAAAAAACAAGGACATTTCTAAGTGACCCCAAACTTTTGAATGGTAGTGTGTAAATATATACACAGTGGGGAAAAAGTATTTAGTCAGCCACCAATTGTGCAAGTTCTCCCACTTAAAAAGATGAGAGAGGCCTATAGTTTTCATCATATGTACACATCAACTATGACAGACAAATTGAGAAAAAAAAATCCAGAAAATCACATTGTAGGATTTTTAATGAATTTATTTGCAAATTATGGTGGAAAATAAGTATTTGGTCACCTACAAACAAGCAAGATTTCTGGCTCTCACAGACCTGTATCTTCTTCTTTAAGAGGCTCCTCTGTCCTCCACTCGTAACCTGTATTAATGGCACCTGTTTGAACTTGTTATCAGTATAAAAGACACCTGTCCACAACCTCAAACAGTCACACTCCAAACTCCACTATGGCCAAGACCAAAGAGCTGTCAAAGGACACCAGAAACACAATTGTAGACCTGCACCAGGCTGGGAAGACTGAATCTGCAATAGGTAAGCAGCTTGGTTTGAAGAAATCAACTGTGGGAGCAATTATTAGGAAATGGAAGACATACAAGACCACTGATAATCTCCCTCGATCTGGGGCTCCACGCAAGATCTCACCCCGTGGGGTCAAAATGATCACAAGAACGGTGAGCAAAAATCCCAGAACCACACGGGGGGACCTAGTGAATGACCTGCAGAGAGCTGGGACCAAAGTAACAAAGCCTACCATCAGTAACACACTACGCCCCCAGGGACTCAAATCCTGCAGTGCCAGACGTGTCCCCCTGCTTAAGCCAGTACATGTCCAGGCCCGTCTGAAGTTTGCTAGAGTGCATTTGGATGATCCAGAAGAGGATTGGGAGAATGTCATATGGTCAGATGAAACCAAAATATAACTTTTTGGTAAAAACTCAACTCGTCGTGTTTGGAGGACAAAGAATGCTGAGTTGCATCCAAAGAACACCATACCTACTGTGAAGCATGGGGGTGGAAACATCATGCTTTGGGGCAGTTTTTCTGCAAAGGGACCAGGACGACTGATCCGTGTAAAGGAAAGAATGAATGGGGCCATGTATCGTGAGATTTTGAGTGAAAACCTCCTTCCATCAGCAAGGGCATTGAAGATGAAACGTGGCTGGGTCTTTCAGCATGACAATGATCCCAAACACACCACCCGGGCAACGAAGGAGTGGCTTCGTAAGAAGCATTTCAAGGTCCTGGAGTGGCCTAGCCAGTCTCCAGATCTCAACCCCATAGAAAATCTTTGGAGGGAGTTGAAAGTCTGTGTTGCCCAGCGACAGCCCCAAAACATCACTGCTCTACATGAGATCTGCATGGAGGAATGGGCCAAAATACCAGCAACAGTGTGTGAAAACCTTGTGAAGACTTACAGAAAACGTTTGACCTGTGTCATTGCCAACAAAGGGTATATAACAAAGTATTGAGATACTTTTGTTATTGACCAAATACTTATTTTCCACCATCATTTGTAAATAGATTCATTAACAATCCTACAATGTGATTTTCTGGATATTTTTTTCTCATTTTGTCTGTCATAGTTGACGTGTACCTATGATGAAAATTACAGGCCTCTCTCATCTTTTTAAGTGGGAGAACTTGCACAATTGGTGGCTGACTAAATACTTACTATTGTAAAACATGTGTGGTGCTTGTGCTAACCAGAATTACCTAAAGCCTCTTACTCAGTCAGAAACCCCCTGAGGCAAACATTGCCTTTAGTACTGGGTCCCCTGATTAAGACCACCCAGGGCTGTCCACATACAGTTAGCTATGAGGGAGTTGAACAAAGCTCACTCCGATCATGGAACAAAAGATTGAGACTTTCCTGTTTTCGCAATATCAGGCACTTGTTCAGTTCATCAAACCATATGCACAATTCATCCACTACTACAGTCCTACTCAGACGTATGCACACATAAGTAGCCAACATATGAAAACAATATTTTCCTTTACCACAATGCCTCTTTCAAATGTATGTAGCAAGCTAAAGCAAGCATGCACACTAGTCAGAATTTAATACAAACATTGTGATGCATATAAATTGAGAATACAAAGAGATAGTGCTTTGCACACACACTACCCATATTGCCATAACTATACACTGTTTTGTACCTGAAACAGCCATTCCTCCTAATTTCTTTACCTAATAAAACTTTGGCAAATCTTAGTGGACAGACCTAAAGATTCTATACACATCCTGAGACATGGTTCATTAATGAACAAACCTCTTTGCCATTAGTTAACTCTTATCACCAATGAGAATGCACAGGATTAAAGCAAATACACTTTGTCAATGTCTTAGACAAAATAAACAACATAGAAGACAAAATAAGGGAAAGATTCAGACGAACAATCAGCTAAGAAATCGTAATTTAGTAATCAATCTTTAGACTGATTACTAAAAGTGCATTTCAGAAACTGCAGGTATGTATCATTAAACCAAAGTGTCAACTTTGGTGATTGATATCACACCATTGACAAGTCATGGTTGTAGAGATGTAACTTTTTGGTAAGTGCAACTCACAGGCAAATGTTAGTCAAAGAAAGCAAATAGTAGATTCTAATTATTTTTTGAGCTGTATGAAGCTATGTACAGAAAATATAGAAAGTAAATAGGTCATGCTCTCTCTGAGGCTTGGGAAGATATAGTTCCAATATGGAAATACCGGTATTGAAGCTAACGTCCTCTGTCTTCTAGTCCTCAATTTACTGGCTCCAGGAATTGGCGAGTGTCTGGGCTCAGAGAAATGGTTTTAAGTCAAACAAAATGTAGCCAGTTTTTATATGGACAGGTCTTGTGATGAACTCTGAGAACTCTCCACCAATGTATTAAGATATAGCACCAGTGAGGATAAAGCTTACCGTATGCATCCCAATCTAAACAGTTTGCGCATATATTATGACAGCGTTTTGGTGTTCGGCAATTTTTGGGGGGACTGTTTGAGCACACCCTATTTTTTCTTGAGACAAGCCGAAGTTCGGTAGCTGAAGTCTACGCCCATTCATCGTGATTGGTCAACAGTAGGGAATCTTCAATTAAGTGTTTGTTGTCATTCAACGAGAGACGACAAGTTTTGAGGACTACGGTTCCGGTTCAGGAAAAAGATGGCTTCAGGAAAATGGGTGAAGGAGATTGAGGTTGCAAAAGTTTTGAGCGGTCAATCGAACCTCCTATGTGGAGGTGATTAAAATAATTGAGAAAACAAGTGATGCTAGTGAAGATATGGTAGTGGACACACCACAGCCTGTAGTAAATGTTTGCTGCCAGACAAAAGATACCCTGTGTGTTAAAAGGTGGATTTTGTGGAATTCATTCCCACAGTTATAAACTGTACGACACAAGTCTGAAAGAAGTCTAAGAAACTGGACATTATTGTGACTTAAGGATTTTACATCTGAAAACTTGCAAGGGGTACTGGCGCCGGAAGACCCGCCCTCCCAGGTTCCCCTTGAGCCTGTGTAGGGATCGAATCTGTTAAAATTTTTAACAGAAAAGTTGTTTGATTTAGTTTATTTATTAATTTTTTGGTAGTTTGGTAGTTTTTTGGGGGGGTATTTTGTTCAATTTTGGGGAATCTTGTTTCCATCCCGCACAGTAGGTAGAAGATTGCACATTAAATTGTGCGATCGCCAATATACCATAGAAGAAGACTATCAGTTTTCATGCACATTTAAATCGCTTGAGAAGTACTACACCAAACATCTTAGTTAGATGTAAAATTGTGCAACTAAGACCTCCTCTGCAAAAACTTCAACATTAATTACAGATTTCTTGATTTATTTTAGAATAGTTCAGACTATTTTGAGGAAGTGTTATGGCTATGTTGTTGTACGGCGTCTCAAGAGGGACAAACAGTAATTTGTATATTTAAGGGAGTATGCGAGGCACAGATGTTCGCTTCGCCTAGCCGAGTTCTGCTAGGAGCAAACCGAACCTAGTATGCAGACGCCTTTAAGGCTTACAGTATGTCAACACTTGTCTACGGAAAAAAAATTGCCCCTTGTCACTTGGGGCTACTCAAATCTTTAGTTCTTACTGAGGTATCACTTCAAACCACATCCAACCATTACTTACTGCACAATTAGATTATCAAACAGTTTGAAAGAAGAGTTTGGAGTTAAAAATACAGGTATGACAACAAGGCATGCAGAAACACAATATCGAGCACAAAATTGTATTTACCTACCAGCTCAAGAAAGGTATTCTCCAATGACATGTACTCAGGAGAGCTCTTGTTGAACAGGTCCTCGGAAAACATAATGTTAGTGACTCGCAAACTAAAGAACACCACCATCTCTTTGGCCTTTTCAGTAGTGGCCATTAAAGGGGTGCGCATGTGTCTGAGTCCGGGGGCTGCAGTGGACTCAAATGGACCTTCCAATCCACTGCCAAACTCGTCCAGCATATCAGCGGCTTCTGTACCGTCCTTTTCTACCTTTTCTACATCCTCCTGCATGTCCGAGTCATCAGTAGAGATATCCACGGCCGTCTCAAGTGGTTCCTGTTCTCGGACGGTGTCCCCTCCTTCTGAAGGTCCAGGGGCTATAGCGGGAATAGATGCTGAGGGTACTTCCTCTGGCTCTGCTTGGATGATGTCATCCTCAGATGAAGGCATGGTTTGTGATTGTGTAGCAGTGGTAAATGTTTTGATGGATGCAGGTTCTATATCTTGATATGCTGTAGTGGTGATAATTAGATTTTCTCTGTCCGGTTGCTCGTCTAAAGCCGCCTCAGTAGTTGTGGGTCCTTTCAAAGAAAATCAAAAATATCAGAAAATGACATACAAATCCATTTCAATCAAAAAGATTGAAATTAAAATCAAAAAATGCTCCCATAAATGTAGTCACTCGCGTTATAAGAGGAATGTTACCTTCATCTTCCTCAGGTTCAACAGTTGGGAGGGTTTCCTCATCAGCATCTTTCTCAGGAGGAAAGAGAGTAATCAGTTTGGTGGTAGGCTGTTCCATAACGGATGTTCTTGTAACTGGTGGCCAAACCCAAAGGTAGTCTTCTTCTGTCGCATCCACAGTTTCTTCTACATCAAGTGTCTCCTCAGTGGCAGGCTGTTCCGTAATGGCCGCCAGTGTTGTTACTGGTGGCCAAACCCAAAGGTAGTCTTCTTCTGTCGCATCCACAGTTTCCTCTACATCAAGTGTCTCCTCAGTGGCAGGCTGTTCCGTAATGGCCGCCAGTGTTGTTACTGGTGGCCAAACCCAAAGGTTGTCTTCTTCTGTTGCATCCACAGTTTCTTCTACATCAAGTGTCTCCTCAGTGGCAGGCTGTTCCATAATGGCCGCCAGTGTTGTTACTGGTGGCCAAACCCAAAGGTAGTCTTGTCTCGCATCTACAGTCTCCTCTATATCAAGTGTCTCCTCAGTGGCATCCTCTGCAGGCTTTACATTAATTGTCTCCTCAGTGGCATCCACAGTTTCCTCTACCTCAATCATCTCCTCTGTAACATCCACTGGAGGCTCCTCTATGCCAAGCGTCTCATCTGTAGCCTCTTCATCAAGTGTCTCATCTCTAGCATCCACTACAGTCTCCTCTACTGCTTCTACTGAGGGAGGACCCTCACTAATATCCACAGTGGGGGTATCTGGGGTTGAGCCAGTGGTAGCCTCAGCAGGAAGAACAATAACTGAGTCACTGAAAGGCACAATGGTGTATTCCTCAGGTGTGTCTGTAAAAGCCTCAAGATAGTCCTCTCCAACAGCAACAGTTGGGAAGAAAACTTCAGTGTGCCCGACACCCTCCTCTGGCAAGGTTTCCAAGGTTGTCGCCTCCAACTCCTCTCTTAGAGAAACAGTGGGATCTGAAGGGGGAAAATGAAAAGTTAGCATCTCCTCAATGATTATATCCCATTTGACCTGAGCTTTAAATTAAGCTTACCCGGTTCAAAACTGAGTGTATGTATGTCCACAGGCAGGGACGTCTCCACGTTTAAGGCCATGTAAACCATATCCTTCAGTCTGTGTCCATTTGTGTAAACAACTGTCCCTGTCCCTGTGCCTGGTTCTATAGTGGAAATAGATTCTTCTTCATGGTCTTCTCCATTCGTCTCAAACACCACAGCATAGCGGACTGACATATCATCAGATCTGTCAACAAAGCAGAGCTTATATTGGAGAAATAGTATGTCTTTCTCACAGTATTTATTAGCTTAGCATTTTAGCAATTAAAGCAAAGACCAAAGTTTGAAAGACCTCTGGCTAATATAACACTGCTTTGTTTTTCCTTTGCTAATGACATATACAACACACTCTCTGAACAGTGATGCTATGTCTAATGGAGCCTGTTCAATTAAATGAAAGATTTGGCTCACTTCTTAGTACTTTCACAGTTCATTGAACAACCTACCGAAGTTCAACGAACCGAAATCCCAAAACACGAAGATCTTTGAACCCAGGAAGTTTGTCAAAAACATGAACCATCTGTGGAAAATAGAGACATCTGATGGTTATGTTTAGGTAACACATCTTTCTTAGATTCATGAAGCCTTCTCTCTGGGGCAATAATCATTCTAAACAAAATAACATCACACAATAACGATATAAACGATATTGCCAACACAGAAAAATAGCAAACACAAGTAAGTGGCCTGTAGTATAATATTCACTGAGTGTACAAAACATTAAGAAAACCTTGATTCACCTGGTCAGTCTACAGTATGTAATGGAAAGAGCAGGTGTTTCTAATGTTTTGTACCCTCAGTGTAGATTTCTCACTGTAGAATCATCTATGTGCTGTCAGGCTTTTGTGAATTTCTTCTTTATCTGGAAGGGGTGCATTTTTTCTAGGAATCATTCATGAGGTTTACACACTTTATCTTTCTGAGGTTACAAATCCAATTCAGTCTTTTGATGTTGCCAAATACATTGCTGGCTTTACACTTTGTCTACCCTTTATCATAAGCTTCTTTAAAACACAAGCTCATTTGGGATGTTATTGTGCATTTCCACTGAAAATTTACCCCAGTTTTTTATCCTAAAGGCTCAGACTTTTCTATTTCCATCAAACCCGGGCCTGGACCCGTGTCTCACTGGGCCATGGCTCTGATGGACCTGCTCTGACTTGGAGCCAAACACTGGCAAGTCTAGATGGAAAAGCACCATTAGTATTGCTAGATTTGCAAAAGGCAGTCATTCAACCTGAACTCAGGGGTAGACGTAACATAGTAAATGGAAATCCAGGACACTACAATTAGTATCATATGTTATGTTTCGTATGGTATGTATTAATTTGTGAAGATCCATCATCCATTTTGTATGATATGTTAGCTAGGTGGTTAACGTTAGCTAGGCTAGGGATTAGGGGTTAGGGTTAAGGTTAAAGGGTTAAGGTTAGGGAAAGGGTTAGCTAACATGCTAAGTAGTTGCAAAGTAGCTAAAAAGTATTAAGTAGTCCCCGGGTTTGATCCCAGGCTGTGTCACAGCCAGCCAGCCGTGACCGGAAGACCCATGAGGCGGTGCACAATTGGCTCAGCATCGTCCGGGTTAGGGGAGGGTTTGGCTGGCCGGGATTTCCTTGTCCCATTGCGCTTTAGCCACTCCTTGTGGCGGGCCGGGTGCCTGCAAGCTGACCTCGGTCGCCAGTTTGACAGTGTTTCCTGGTGCAGCTGGCTTTCGGGTTAAGCAAGCAGTGTGTCAAGTAGCAGCGCGGCTTGGCAGGGTCGTGTTTCAGAGGAAACATGGCTCGCAATCTTCGCCTCTCCCGAGTCCGTAGGGGAGTTGCAGCGATGAGACAAGACTGTAACTACCAATTGGATATCATAAAAATTGGGGAGAAAAATGGGTAAAAGTAAAGAAATATATATACAGTTGAAGTCGGAAGTTTACATACACCTTAGCCAAATACATTTAAACTCAGTTTTTCACAATTACTGACATTTAATCCTAGTAAAATTCCCTGTCTTAGGTCAGTTAGGATCACCACTTTATTTTAAGAATGTGAAATGTCAGAATAATAGTAGAGAGAATGATTTATTTCAGCTTTTATTTCTTGGTTGAAAAACAAGTTTTAATGACTCCAACCTAAGTGTATGTAAACTTCAGACTTCAACTGGGCGGCAGGTGGCTTAGTGGGTAAGAGTGTTGTGCCAGTAACCGAAAGGTCGCTGGTTCTAATCCCTGAGCTGACTAGGTTGAAAAAAACTGTCGATGTGCCCTTAAGCAAAGCACTTAACCCTAATTGCTCATGTAAGTCGCTCTGGATAAGAGTGTCTGCTAAATGACAAAAAAAACAAAAAAAAAACTGTATTAAGTAGTTGCAAAGTTGCTAATTAGTTAAAAAGCTAAAGTTGTCCATGATGAGATTTGAACACGCAACCTTTGGGTTGCTGGACGTTTGCCCACCCATCCACCTTCGGTAACCATACCAAACGTAACATATCACACTAATTTGAGTGTCCTGGATTTATGTTTACTATGTTATGTCCAGTCTATGAAACCAGGCTGAGTCATTGTAGAACAAAATAATAATTCACTAATGTATGCCTACCAAAAACCTGAGGCATTTGCAATCTTTTCAATACTGTATTACTGAAGGAGCTTGTGATTGTCTCAAATATCACTGTACACGTTTCCCTCTGTGTGATATGGCTATGCCTATGGAATACAACATACAGTGAGGGATTGTAAGGATTGTCCCACACAAGGCCTACCTAATTATCCGGCCAACAATCAGTTCTTTCAATGAAAGTATTATCTTAAGAGTGTTATATTTCATTTTTTTAAAGACAAGGATGGTGGAAGTACGGGTGCGGCCGATAGTAACTGAAATCTGGACACTGACTGTACTGTATGACTATAACATATAACATATAACATGTCGCCTTATATAATATTCACTAAAATGGTCAAACCAAATGTTAATTTTGTCTCGGGAACAGTAGTAGAGAAATATGATTTATTTATTTCAGCATTTCTTGATCGAATGCGAATGAACAGGTAGGGACCACAGTCTTTTTCAGCATTGACTCCGTTACATAAAAGCTGACAGTATTTCCACCACATAAATGCATCCAAGACCGACTGAAATCTTATCAAAAACATGTTTAATCGTTTTCACAGCTTTTCATTTCCTTAAAACTGGTCAAACTGATGTCATTTCGACATTTTGTACGGGAAGAAGGTTGCGTTTTCTCCCCAGCCCCTAAACGTCCTCGTTCCACGAGAGAAGCAGAAATAAATGTCTCTGCCTTTAGAGTCAAATTCTTACATGTGAATGGAATGTCTTGATAATCTAACACACCAGGTATCAAACCCGATTCATCTCTGTTACTCAAGATCTATGTTAGCCCATTGAGCTAAAGCCTAGGCATTAGCTCTGGGAGCTAAAATGAGTTGACAGGTCTCAGTCGAGTCAAGGTTATTACTCGTGCAAATGTAGTTCACTAAACCCATCTCAGCAATAAAGGCTAATTTACTTGTTCATTCTCAAAGGTCCAATACAGCTGTTTTTATCTCAATATCAAATCATTTCTGGGTAACAATTAAGTACCTTACTGTGATTGTTTTCAATTTAAATGGTCAAAAAGAAACAAAAATAGCTTCTTACCAAAGAGCAATTTCTCAAGCAAGAATTTAGCTAGGACAGTCTGGGAGTGGTCTGAGTGGGGAGGGGAAAACTGAAAACTAGCTGTTATAGGTACATAGGTTTGGAACTCTTTCTTATTGGTCTAACAACTAATTAACCACCTTGTGATGTCACCAGGCAGGCCAAAACTCCATCCCACCAAAACATTCAGAAATGTCATGCCATCTTTTCAAACAGCTCTTCACTAAAACTGCATTATCATAATTTTCACAATTTCACAGTATTATTCCACCGTCATAGTGTGGAAATATATACACTACAGGTCAAAAGTTTTAGAACACCTACTCATTCAACGGTTTTTCTTTATTCTTACTATTTTCTACATTGTAGACTAATAGTGAAGACATCAAAACTATGAAATAACACATATGGAATCATGTAGTAACCAAACAAGTGTTAAACAAATCAAAATATATTTTATATTTGAGATTCTTCAAATAGCCACCCTTTGCCTTGATGACAGCGTTGCACACTCTTGGCATTCTCTCAGCCAGCTTCACCTGAAATGTTTTCCAACAGTCTTGAAGGAGTTCCCACACATGCTGAGCACTTGTTGGCTGCTTTTCCTTCACTCTGCGGTCCAACTCATCCCAAACCATCTCAATTTGGTTGAGGTCGGGGGATTGTGGAGGCCAGGTCATCTGATGCAGCACTCCATCACTCTCCTTCTTGGAAAAATAGCCCTTACACAGCCTGGAGGTGTGTTGGGTCATTGTCCTGTTGAAAAATGAATGATAGTCCCACTAAGCGCAAACCAGATGGGATGGCGTATCGCTTCAGAATGCTGTGGTAGCCATGCTGGTTAAACCTCCTGCTCCATGCTTTACGGTGAGAAATACACATGTGGAGATCATCCGTTCACCCACACCGCATCTCACAAAGACACGGTGGTTGGAACCAAAAATCTCCAATTTGGCAGTCTCCTCTGAACAGTTGATGATGAGATGTGTCTGTTACTTGAACTCTGTGAAACATGTATTTGGGCTGCAATTTCTGAGGCTGGTAACTCTAATGAACTTATCCTCTGCAGCAGAGGTAACTCTGGGTCTTCCATTCCCGTGGTGGTCCTTATGAGAGCCAGTTTCATCATAACGCTTGATGGTTTTTGCGACTGCACTTAAAGAAACCTTCAAAGTTCTTGAAATGTTCCGTATTGACTGACCTTCATGTCTTAAAGTAATGATGGACTGTTGTTTCTCTTTGCTTATTTGAGCTGTTCTTGCCATAATATGGACTTGGTTTTTTTCCAAATAGGGCTATCTTCTGTATACCTTGTCACAACACAACTGATTGGCTCAAACGCATTAAGAAGGAAATACATTTTACAAATTAACTTTTAAGAAGTTCCATCTGTTAATTGAAATGCATTCCAGGTGACTACCTCATGAAGCTGGTTGAGAAAATGCCAAGAATGTGCAAAGCTGTCATCAAAGCAAAGGGTGGCTATTTAAAGAATCTCAAATATAAAATATATTTTTGATTTGTTTAACACTTTTTTGGTTACTACATGATTCCATATGTGTTATTTCTTAGTTTTGATGTCTTCACTATTATTCTGCAATGTAGAAATTAGTTAAAATAAATAATTACCCTTGAATGAGTAGGTGTTCTAAAACTTTTGACTGCACTGGGCCTTTAAGACTTTTCAAGGACATTTCTTCTCAGTTTGCCTCACCGTATCATGGAGATCGCGTGTGATGTCATGGTACTGGGGAGCTGCAGGGTCACTCAGAACAAGTTCACTGTAGCCAGGGTCTGCTATGGTGACACTGAACTCCACTATCTGCTCCTCAATAATCGCCTCCTCTGGTACAATGTTTGGAATCTCTGTTATCTGTGGAAAGCAAAAGCAGCAATGTCATTTTCAATGGCCATCAATGAGACTGTCAACATTCAATCAAGATTACAATGCCAAGGCAAGGTAGCCCTCAGAAAATATGGTTAAACTTACCTCCCTTGCTTCAGTCGGAATGATAAACAGTTCTGATGGAGTTTTCGAGCCTACAAAGTGAGCATTGTGCATTCATTCAGGAATTGTGTATTATTACTTTTAGCATACTGCATTGATGGATGTGGAGTACTTACATTTCTCAATCTCAGTTCCTCCAGCTGTTGATACTTCACCGCTGGAAATCAAAAATGCATGTTTTGCAACAATTCAAGTTTCAAGTTTTAAAGTCTTGTGCACAAGTACAGTGAAATGCCTTTCTTGCAAGCTGTGCCGGTCTTGACATCATAATACTACCATAAATTAGAGATAGATTCTCCTGGTTGAAAGGAATGTCCTTTGTTTCAGAGACTTTTGCCGCCCAAAAACGTCAAGATCCAACAATGAACATTGGGACAATATATTTCAACATCCAAACGTTGGGAATGATGGAATGAAATGGAATATGGAAAATTAGTGTCTATTGTGTGATGTCATAAAAATTGTATGAAGGCGTTATAAGGAAAACATTGTGACTTGAAGAGCTTTTACACTGTGGATATCAGGGTTACATCCTTTACCTTATGTAGAAAATATCAAGGAGGAAGACAATGTTTTTGTGAAGATATGAATGTGATTTTAGCTTTCTAACAAAATCATAGTGATAATAATACTTTTGCCTCGTAACTAGCCACGCCCGAGGGAGCTCAGAGAGCATGTCAGTATGACGGAAACGCCCCTTTTTACCAGAGTGCATAAAAGACTGAGATAAGAATTATCAGATCAGACTAGACGGACCTCAAGCTGCAGCTTTTGTCCATATTGGTCCCGACCCTGAAAATCAACACGAGGTGAAGACGACAAAGTTGCCTCCACTAACAATCAATGTTACGGCTGAGTAGCTGTTCTAAGTACTGTATCTAAGAAGGTGAATTTAAGTGGGACCATCCTGTTACTCTCTTCAAACCATCGTCTACTACACTGCTCTCATCACCCCACAGGGGATCATCGACACGGCTGATTAGCCGTCCTCAGAAGACACTTCCAGAACGAGTGAAAGTAAACAGACAACTAAGAAGGACATTGTGACCTCTTGTGGACAATCAAAGCCTTACATCTAAAAGTCCATCCGAAAGAGAAAGACCAATCGACCCCTTCCCACGAAGGCCTGGGTCCAACAGAGATACACGACAAAGACCTCCAACACGTAAATACATGTATTGCTTCCTACCAAACGGGTGGTGGTTCTGGGCAAAGAATTAGGATTACTATGAGCATAGGTCCATGTGTATCCCAAGTGTTTTCTCTCTCTCTCTCTCTCTCTCTTTAACTCTCCATCTTATGTAACAACTGTCATTTGTGTTAGTCCGCTAGGGATCCGTTTTCATTGTATTAAGTTTCTAATCCCTACCTATACTGTGTACGTGTTTGTATCTTGTGTTATCATTTTTAATTAGTTAGTAAATAAATAATTAAATCAATTTGTGTGGTACGGAATGATCACTAAGACCGGGGTTCGTGCAGACTTAAAGAGCCTACGAATGACTGTTAAATGATAAGAGATATCTAGATATCTTTAGAGTTCATTCGGGAATCGGTAACTCGTTAAACAACTTTTCCCGTGGTGCCCCAAATTCCTAATGAGTTAATTGTTACATGATTAATTTAATCTAGTAACAATTAAACATAGTAGGCAATTATTCAATAAATAATAGTCGTCACAATATTGAAAGTCACGTCACGACAATTGCTAAACAACCATTTTCAAGTCTTGCCATAGATTTTCAAGCAGATTTAAGTCAAAACTGTAACTCGGCCACACAGGAACATTCACTGTCTTCTTGGTAAGCAACTCAAGTGTAGATTTGGCCTTGTGTTTTAGGTTATTGTCGTGCTGAATGGTGAATTCATCTCCCGTGTCTGGTGGAAAGCAGACTCAACCAGGTTTTCCTCTAGGATTTTGCCTGTGCTTAGCTCAATTCCGTTTATTTTTTATCCTGAAAACCTCCCCAGTCCTTAACGATTACAAGCATACCCATAATATGATGCAGCCACCACTATGCTTGAAAATTTGGTGAGTGGTACTCAGTAATGTGTTGTATTGGATATGCCCCAAACATAACACTTTGTATTCAGGACAAAAACTTTAGTGCCTTGTTGCAAACAGGATGCATGTTTTGGAATAATTGTTTTCTGTACAGGCTTCCTTATTTTCACTATGTAAAATAGGTTAATTGTAGAGTAGCTACAATGCTGGTGATCCATCCTCAGTTTTCTCCTATCACAGCCATTAAATTATGTAACTGTTTTAAAGTCAAAATTGGCATCATAGTGAAATCACTGAGCGGTTTCCTTCCTCGCCGGCAACTGAGTTAAGAAGGACGCCTGTATCTTTATAGTGACTGGGTGTATTGATACACCATCCAAAGTTTAATTAATAACTTCACCATGCTCAAAGGGATATTCAATGTCTGCTTTTTTTTACCCATCTACCAATAGGTGCCCTTCTTTGCAAGGCTTTGGAAAACATCCCTGGTCTTTGTGGTTGAATCTGTATTTCAAATTCACTGCTCGACTGAGGAACTTTACAGATAACTGTATGTGTGGGGCACAGAGATGAGGTAGTCATTCAAAAATCATGTTAAACACTATTATTGCACACAAAGTCCATTAAACTTATTATGTGATTTGTTAAGCAAATTTGTACTCCTGAACTTATGTATGCTTGCCATAACAAAATGGTTGAATACTTATTGACTCAAGACATTTCAGCTTTTAATTTTATAATAATTTGTAAACATTCAGAAAAACGTAATTCCACTCTGACATTATGGGGTATCTAATGTCAAAAATTGAAATGTAATCCATCTTAAATTCAGGCTGTAACACAACTAAATGTGGAAAAAGTCAAGGGTTTTTTATATTTTCTGAAAGCACTGTATGGAAAGAGTAATCTGTTACAAAACACCAAAAAATGTAATGACATTCGGGGATTGTCATTAGGTCTACACTTGATTGATGCGTCTCGCTGATAAAATTACTTTTTATGTAGAAACAAAAGTTGAGACACCTGTAAAGTGGCTGAAATACGGGATTGTGCCGGGATGACAAGTGCACTCACATTATTATTATTTTTTTCAACCATGACACAGAGGTGGGGGTGTTCATTTCATTTAGAAAAAGCTTTTATTTTCATATTTACCACTGTAGCAGTACAAATTGCAAATAGGAGAGTGGTTAAATTAGCATTATTTATAGAGCGCTCCCTCACTCCCCCCCCTCCACCTTCCAATATGGATGTATGTTAAGTCAGGCCACCAGATGTACAGACTCCGTCAGTTTAGGGAGCTGAGGAGGGTCATTTGAGTTTACCTGTTCTTGCCCTCTGCCAATTGTGCTTGCGGCAACAGCGAGTGAGAGTGTTTTTGGTCTTGATGACATTTTACCATTAGAATTTAAACCTTCATGAACAGCTCTTTGGAAAGGCTTGTCTAGTCTCTGGAGTTGGAGATGGTTGCCAGGCATTTTAGAACTTTGTAGTCAAACCAAAAATAACTGTGGGGTATGAAACATTCATTTGAGATTTTCTGAACATCTATTTTGTTTTCAAACACCATATTAAATTAGAATTCAAGTGATAGAAAGAGGTCGTTGGTTGAAAATGTATGAGGGAAGGGGGTTGAACACCCATTTCAATTAAACGTTGCAGGCCTACTTCTTGTAATATCTATAAACAATATATAACATTTCTCCAACCTTTCATCTACCTACCTTTGTTGCTTGGTCTTCTCCTGTTCAGCAACTCTCTGAAAACCAAACAAACATAAAATTTCAAAATATATAATAAAATATTATTACATCTTTATGACTTATCACCACCAATCTTTGTGTTATTACCCCTCTCTGTTCCTCTTATTACTGGGATGCATGCAGGATTTAGTACTCACTGTGGCCACCATGTCAATATGTTCCTGGGTACTGCTGAAGTGCCTTGCCACCTCGTCCAGACAGAGAGAGCCATGTTGGCAGGCATAAGTCCAATGCTTGTACTCCTCTGAGTTAGGAACCCTGTCCAGGAAGATGAGGAAGGCCTCCCATATCGCCTCTTGACAAACTAAATTAATATTGAAACATGTCAGAATTGCTGAATAAAGATGTGTGTATCTGTGTGGGAACAACTCTTAGCTTATAAAGTCAATCAAATCAAATCACATTTTATTTGGTGTAATGAAATGCTTGTGCTTCTAGCTCCGACAGTGCAGTAATATCTAACAATTTCACAACATATACCCAATACACACAAATCTAAGTAAGGAATGGAATTTAAGAATATATACATATATGGACAAGCAATGACAGAGCGGCATGAACTAAGATACAGTAGAAATGGCAATTCAATGTTTTCACAATCTCATTACTTTATGCATGTAAGACAAGACACAGAAATTGATTCATTATGGCCTAGGTTTGAACAAACTATTTTGACACGTACCGTTAATATGATAGGACAGCTTTTAATAATGTATCAGTTAAATGTCACTTTAGATATTTGAAACCCAACGCTGGAATGAAATATACTCGTCCTGATATTTGGGAATGTTAGAAACATGAATAAAAAAATCCCTAACACTTTTGATGATTTATTTACCTCTGTTATGAGGAGTAACAAGCACTGTTGAATTATTCATTATGCTTATGCCTTGGGGAAGTTCTCTTACATTTTGATTTCATAAAGTGAAGTTATTCTTTCCACAGCATATTTACTGTTTGAATACCCTCACCTTAATGTAACTCAGTCCCTGAATTTAGCCAGTCACATTTGAATCTATACATCAAATCTGAATATACTGTACATGGATTTCACAGGGCATGCTTATGAGAAGATAAAAGTGAACGCCTACAGTATTTTATGTTTTTCAAGTTGAACGTCTCCCAGTTTGTAAAGTCTCAACCATGAATACTTCAAAGCCAGCAATGATTTATTAAATTGTGACAAAGATGTTCTATTTTGATTAACTGCTTTATCTCTCTCTTGAGGGAAACAGTTCAGAGCCACTGTTTTTGGAATAGCTTAATCACCCCACTGTCTAAAGGTG